AAATCACTTGCTTGACGCTATGGAAAAGCCAATGGCATCCTGCCCACAGAAGAGTCACAAGGCTGCGTATATGCGCATATAAATATAGTAGCTGAGGGCGAAGTTCTTGATCTACTTATTTGCCCCTTATCTCTCACAAGCAGTTTTTTCCAAAGTGGAATGGAAATATTCAAACATCTTGTGTATCTCATAAAATTACTTTTCTGCTTAAGAACCTTCTTTGTATGTGTAGTTTAGATGTACAGATTTCACAAAAAATGTTTCTAAATGCTGTCACATTCTGAGGACTGACAAACTGTACGTATCAGATACCACCACAGTTGCCCCCTCCCCTGCCCAAATATTAAAAGCCTCCAAACAGTATGTTCTTCTATCAGCTGGAATCCTTAAGTATGACACAAAGTTTGAGTTTGCTTTTTCTTTTTTTTTTATTTAAAAATTAATTCTGTAAAAATGAAAGTGTGGAATTCAGTGCCTGCTGATCTTGATTCCTCCTCAAATTTAAGTCATTGGAAGGTTCTTGCTTTTCCTCTTGGTTGTCAGCCTGCAAGTACAATTTGAATTTAATATTTAAAGTGGGCTTTTTCCCTAAATTCACAAAACACATCTTTCCTAAATAAAAAAAAAGAGCATTAATGTTTTTCTAAATATATGAGATAAAACAGAAATCTGTACAGCTCTTCTTACCTATGGTTTTCCTACAAAACAGTAGAAAGTGGTGTTTATAAACAGGTAAACAAAAAACCCAGCAACCTTTTACCAGTGAGGATGACAGCTATTGCTCCGAGTGTTCCCAGGGAATGGATGCATTATGAAACATGGTGTGTCTGATTCTTTTAGTTTTATAAATCATAGTTGCTCATAAAATCATTAAAAGGTCTGTGAAATTTGTCAGAAATCTAAATACTATCTCCATATTAAAACTTGTCTCAAGTATTATGATATTAACTATTGTTTTACTCAGGTAACGAGTATACCAGTTTTTTTTAGTAGGGCTCTGCTTTCTAAGGCTAGGTGCTGAGTAATGTTTTTATTCCTTCCTTCTCTGCATATGTAAATATGTAGGGATGATACAAAATAATATCCAAGGAAAACTTGGGAAAAGTGAAGTCTGTGAATCTCCTCCTTAGATATTTCTAAGGAGATATGAGTGACAACTATCAACATAAAGTTAGCACATATGGACCCTGATAACTAATCCATACCCATTCAAGTCTAGTTACATTTCTCATGTTAAATAGCTAAAGTAGTTTCAAAAACTGCTTAGTGCCTTAGTTTTCTGTTTTGCTTTTCAGTTACTGCCTTCTTCAGTAACAAGTAAAACAATATTCGGCAAGCAAGTTTTAGTTTGTATTGAAAAATAATAACATATCTTACATAATCAATTACCATAGCTCAGATAAAATACATCAGCAACTGAAAATGCTGCAGCTTTTCAGAAGCCAGCTTCAGCACACAAACATGGATATTCTTGAGATGATGCTGAATTTTATAATCTTTATGTAAGGTTCTAAAGTCTTCATCACAAAGTACAGGTTAGTCTTTATTTAAGGTTCTGTACGTTCCATTATAAAGTAATGTTTATAGCATTTGCAGGGGGAGGGGAGTTGATGAAGGTGGTATAAAGCTGTTTTGTTTTCTGGTCAGGATTTAATGTTTTAACAGTTAAGAGAGCAACTTTTTAGTTATTTCTAAATTTAAAGAAAGTGGGTAGGAGGAGGGAAAGCACCTTTTTTTTTTTTTCAAAAGTAGGTTTTAGAAAACTGGAAATTCATCAAGGATATAATATCTAGATACATTTTGGATTGTGTTTTGGCAGCTCTATGAGGATTTAAGAATGCATCATATCAGTGAAAACTTTTATTTAAAGTGACCAAATTAATTATTTCATGAGCCCCTTGGTTCTGCATATTTGGCTGGAGGGGAGAGTGAAATGAAAATAGTCTGTGAAAGGAGACATAACAGACATTCTATAGGAAAGAACAGGGCAAAGAATGAAGGGGGCGTGTAAAAATGTATGAAATTAAAGGGGAGAGATACTGATTCTTTTCATTCAGTCTGCAAGTTAGCATGTGTAGACAGATTAAGGGACTAGGCAAGAAAGAAAGGTTTATGGTAGACTGGCTATGCAGCTACAGCACATAGTACACTACTACTGTTTGACAAATAATAAAGAAAAAGAAAGTTTGTGATTTTATTTAAAAAAAAGAAATTTGGAAATTCCACTTCAGAAAAACACATTGAAAACTTGCCTAAGTGGCAGTTTGAAGATTTCAGTGTTCAAGAAAGACTGAATTTCTCTTAAAGCCCTGACTAAATAAAGTCTTTAGTTTCCTGGGCATCTTCATGTGGGCCTTCTAAAGTAATATTTCCTTTTGTACAGCTCTACTCATAAAGTTAATAGGATTATTAGAATTAATCAAAATTAACCACATTAAAAGCAGTTGCTGGCATCCACGCCACAGCATTTCATTGTGTTGAAGATTATGTGGTTTTTCTTAAATGTGGTGTTGGCTTATGATGTAATACACATAACATAGTATACGCTTGTAATGATTAGCAATATATAGTTTATACTTAAAATAGTAGACTGAAGCAAATGCTGAAATTTTCATAGCAATCCTCAATTTGTATGTTTGCCTGAAAAACTATTTGGCATTCTCTGGATTGTTTGTTTGATCCTGGAGCAAAGGAATAATGTCGTTTTTACCGGTAGTGTCTGCTACACAATAATAAGACTGAAGTCATCCTGCTTTTTATTGTGGATATGCCATGTGACACTAAATATGTAGAAATCACACTGGGCTGATAGTCATTCTGTTAACGGAAGACATGCAATATAAATAATTCATATTCGTTAACATTGTGGGAGAAATACTTCACTGTTCAATTTAGTTTCTGAATTCACCGGCAAAAGTAACAAGTTAAGAAGGTATAAACTTTTGTTGGAATGGAAGTAGGTTTAATAATGATCAAATACAAATATACAAAAAATAAAAATGGGAAAGAGCTCATTTTAAAAATAGAAGACACATGGTTTATGTGTTTGAATGCAGCAAAATATTTCCTTTGTAGCTTTCTATTATTATCAATTGTTGTTGACATGATTGAAACTGAAAAAATTGAAACTGTGAACATCTCATAACTTTAAAGTGACAGTTTGCACATTTGTGTCATTTTAAAATCATCACATGCTCATAAACTTTTTCATTGCTTATTTGACTTAGATGTCATCATTCAGCTGTCTGCGTTTGTGAATACAGCCTGTGTTCTTCAAGTTTATCACTGAAAATGCAAGTGTTCAGCTACAGAGAAAATCAGCTAATTTATTCTCTATTTAGAATCAGAAATCAGATACCCAGATTTCTGTAGACATTTTTTGTCTTTTAGTAGAAGCTATCTTCTCCTCCCCACTAAACATGTAGAGCTGCATTTGCTTTCATACTAAGTCTTATAGAGGGAGTTTAGGCTCTCTGACATCTATTTGAAACAAAAATTGGAAATAAGCTGTAGTACTCTGACTAAATCTCTGTGAGTGTCCAGATAGTACCAGTATAAAGAAAGACTATTCCTCCAGTTTCTGTTGCTGTTGTTACTGCTGCATGCCAAGAGTAGCTATAAATTTGACACTTTATGGGATGGATAAGTTACATGGCAGATCAAGTTTCTGAGGTTATTGATGAGATCACAGCTATATGTTCTTTCTTTTTTTTTCTGAAAACTATGGTATAACACACCCTTGCAGGAACCATAGGAGTGGTATTATCTCTCCTGGGCATTTTCTGGAGCTTCTGCTGAAGGCTTCACTCAGATTGTTTTCAAGCACAACTGCAGCTGACAGTACAAAACTCCATCCTGTTCTTACTTCTCTAGATATCCTCTGGGAGATACTTTTCAATGTGAATCTTGGTAACGGGAGACTGAACTCCTCTGTTTACCAAAACAGCTAAGCATGTGCTTGACTTTAAGCACATAGGTGGTCTTATGAGCCAGTAATGTGCTTAAAGAGTTTGCTAGATATGCATTGTAGATATTCCACTTCATAAGGAAGGAAAAGGGTTTTTCAGTAAGAAGACAACAATGGAAAGCAAGGCTGATGTGGTGGTGTGGCAAAACACCTCCTGTTACAGCTATAAATAAGAATAGTCTGCTAACTCTGACCTATGTTTCAGAGACAACCATTCTAATAGTATAATTAGGTGCACTGACTGATGAAGTTGGGCTATTGGAACTTCACAAACTAATAAGCTATTCAATGGATGCTTAACTCTGTGGTCTGCACAAGGACTACACAGGTCTAGAGAAAAGCTATTAGGCTAAAAATCTGCTTTTTTAAGAAATTACAGTAGTTGTATTAATTTGATTTCACAGAATTAGTATTTCTGCACTTTGTACACTATTGTTTTTTAAGCTTAACTACTTGGAACAGTGAACAGAAAAATTCCAAAACAAACAAACAAAAAAATGACAAATCTCTATATTACCAAATGCAATTTTAGAATTCAAAGTTATGGAAAAAATAACTTAAACTGTGTATTCTAATAGTGTGCAGCCACATGTCTGTGCTCAGCTCACTTATTTAGTCTCGTGATTGACAGAGCATTTGGTAGCTTCTTGGATGTTTTAGAATGAAAGAAAGTAAGGCTGAATCTCACTGGTATGATTATGACTTGTCCATATCCTGTGCTAAAATGCTTCTTTATTACGTTTCTGCTTATGACTTAGGAAATTTGCAGCATCTTGTAAACTGCACATAACAAAAGACATTGATCTATAAATCAAATCTTTTGGAACAGATGAGGTTTCCTCAGTGAATCCCTTTTGTGCATCCAAAATTAGCCTTGTCAGTCAAACCAACAGGTGGTGTATGGTTACACATAATGGATCCCCTCTCACAAGATACGTTCTTTTAGGAAACCAATCAGAGCTGACAGTGACATGATGAGGCAGACCTGACAGCAGAGCTGGGGTATATAAAGCAAAACAACTATGTTAGCACTTCTGAGCAGTCGTGCATTCCCCGCCTCGCCTCGGGTGTAGGGATTGCAAAAAAACAAAACTACACTGTCAAGACTGTGTAGTTTTGTTTTTATGATTAGAGGCTCTACAATTCTCATGCTGGGATTGTCTAACAAAATTTTACTCTGGATAAGGACGTCGTTTAAGAAGATTTCGTTGGGCTTAGCCCACTCTTGCAGGCACTTTGAGAGATCAGGTTAGTAACATGTTTCTGATGGTTGAATAAGTATTTTATCTGTCATTAAGAATCCTGATACAATCTACTATTTGCAAATTTGCTCACAGGGGGGATGTAGGTTTCAGACTATGGACACAAACCATTTAAATTGTCTGGCAAGATTATGTCTTAAATTTCTGGGAGTAAGTTTTGATACTACTCAGCAAAAAGTTTTTCTAGTATATTTTTTGTGAAAGACTATAAATTGAAATTTGAAATGTGCATGGAAACATCTGCTTAGCTTTAAACCGCCTTTCACTGGGAGTGTTCAAGGTTATGATACTGAGAGATAAACTGAGAAGCTCTAAGAATAGCTCTGATAAAATGCACATGGTATCAGCTAAGCACTGATGACTTTTTAAGGGAATCAACTGCTAAGGTATCAGTTACATGGCAGCTCTGGAACACTTGTCTGCTGTCATTCATAGCCAGGAAGGTTATTTCTGGAACATGACATTTCAGATGCATACTTTCAATTCTAATTATACAAAAAGCCTTATAAGATCAGATCTTCATCACTGAATTTTGCCTAGACAATGAAATATATAAACTTTGTGTGAACTCAATGACAGTTCTACTTAATGAAATAATTTTTAATCTATTTTGGAGTCAGAAATTACATATCTATATATAAATTTTCATAATGTTTAATTATATTGTAAGATTATTTCCCCGTGTTTTAGTATGTAACAGATATTTGTCATCTTCCTTTCAGAAAACTAGTGTTGTTTTAGGATAAAATGATGGTCATTTATTTCTAATTTGAACTCACTTCCCCCTTACCCTTGAAGCTGAAAAGCTTTGATAATGTGCAGTTCCCCTGTTAAGCTGGAACAAGTATCCAGATAACCAGTGAAGGCAATAAAAAGCAGATAAAAATTCCAGTAGAATATCCAGCTCAACTCTTATGTGCTTATTGTATGTAGGCACCAGGCACTGATTTCAATGAAGGAACTAATGCCTTTAAAAGGTAGCATAAATTTCGATCATAGTGAAAGAAACTTCATTTTCTCATTAATTTTAATTTTTAAGCCTGGGACTGTCACAAAATCAGGCACAGAAGTCAAAGTAAACAACAGTAAATGTGTGAGATGGAGTTCAAATATTATGGGGTTAACTCTCAGTTAGTAAGACCTGATATGCTCTCAGGGTAATTTTTTAATGAGAAAAATTTTAACCTGAATAGATATATATTACTATTAAGAAGATATTAACAGCATTAAAAAACCTGGACAATTCAACATCAGTAAATAAATGTCTTCAAGCAAATATAAAATACTCCTGATACAGAAGTTTTCCTAGTGGGAGGGTGCTATTACAAAGTAGGATCTTGTGTCATAAGAAGAGAAAGCAAACTTCTTTCAGATTTCACATGGATCTGCAGTTGTTCAAACCATCAGTGTCAGTGGCTACCTTATATCCTAGCTCACATTTCGAAGGTAGCTGTCTTCCCATATTCAAAATTCCACTGTGATACTCTCTAAGAAAGAGTACAATTTTATCTACGTCTGTAGTGCCAATATGTGTCTGTGTAAAATAAAATTATTCACTACTTACAGACTGCTTGTAAGAGAGAATCTCTTGGCATTTTTTTTCATCATCAAAAGCCAAACACTGTAGACCTTCAAACTTTTTTAAGTGGCTACTTAGTGACCTTGTTGTTCTCCTACTGGAGAATGCAAATGGTTTGCACTAGCAAAACATTTTCAAATACTTTAAAAAAAGACCACATGGAGATTATTTTCTGTTTAGGTAAAGATTAATGGACAAATACAGGCTAGAAGACCTGTGGAAGGTCATGCAATGAGTCAAGCAGAACTTTGTCTCCTGCTGCATATTTGTAATGCCAATCACAACTTCACTAAATATAACATTTTCAAGTCAACCCTAAGAGTAATTTGCTATGCAATTTTTCTAAACCTACAATCACCATGTTTCACCAGGTCAACATGACTTGAATAAATTATGAAAATAATCACAAATATTCCTAAAATCTAGCAAGAAGGATGTGTGTGTAATAACAATTTCACCATTGATTCCTAATTACATTTTTATTGCTTTCAGAGTGCCTGTAAAGATGACGACAAAAGCACCAACATTCACGCAGCCATTACAAAGTGTTGTGGCACTGGAGGGTAGTGCCGCAACCTTTGAGGCTCATATTAGTGGTAAGGTTTTTGTTCATTCTTGCACGATTAATTACTGTCTGTTACTTTTTTTGGTAATGTTTATGCTAAGACAAATGAAAAACTTTTCATAGATCATAATGTGAGCTGAATGGGTAAAGACCAGTGCTGAAATGTGACTATATATCCACATCATACAGTAGTAATCAGCACTGAGGTGCTCTCAGATACCCATGAACACACTGAATAAAGTTACAAGGCTTCCCAGGCAATAGTGAATCATCCTGCCAATGAGACTGGTGTCTCATGTATGTTAGAACCATGGAAACTGGGAGAAAATAGCATTTAATGATATACATAACGTATAATGAGATATTTCTGCACCTTTCAGTTTACTTCATTCTGGAGTTCTGTCAGTGAGGGGTTAAAAGCACAAAATCTGGGTCCACATGGCTACTGAAGGCAGTAAAAAAACCTAGTTTGCTAGATAAGAAATGTGTATGGTGATCATGATGGTAGCTCAAGGCTGGATTAATATAATTTAAATTGCTGATGTAATTTTAAAGGGTAGCTCATTTGCCAGTCTACACCCCATTCAAACACCTCATTTTGTGCGAAAGCCCATGCAAGAGCCCTTATTCACATTGTAAGACTGAGTTGGTTTTCATAAGATCAACACCCTGTTCTAAGACTGCCTTTGACCTCAGCAGTGACTAAGGAGAAATGACACATGTTCCTGCTGGTGGAATTATATTGTCTTACAAGCATTAGCAATGCGATGATCCACATATCATAAAACACTACCCAGATGCTCTGTGACAGGTGCAAACACATGATCTGTCCAAGTATAATGTTCTCTGACATCTAAGGTCCACTGTGGTTCATTCCTTTGGTCCCTTTGAATAGCACTGACTCACACAAGGTGTTTGAACATGTCCTGTAATCTATATCCATGATATTTTTTCATGCCTTATTCTGTTGTTTGGCTGTCTACTCTGCAGTTAATTGCTCTGACCTTCTCTTGTTGTCTGTACACTGCAAATTTTCAGTGAAGAATTTATACTGCTGATTACAATACTTATTATGAATACATAAAGATATCACCAGAACAAGTGAATACACTAATATTATGGCTCAGTGTGTGATTTTGGCTATTTTAGTTTGGGTGATATCTTGGATTATTTGATAGGGGAACTTGATTTCTTACAATGAGGAGCATATACCATATTTGCATTTTAGTCCCAAATATCATGTGAGGCAATCTTCTGTTAGCTTTTATTTACATTGTAAGATTCTGAAATACCTTTCCTGCCCCAAAAGCATCCACCAAGATTAACAGATCTGACAGTGGTTTGGAGTTTAGGTTTTCTAGTGCATAAAAAATATGAAGAAAGTTTTATTTCTTGAACTAATTGCATAAATAATGGCCTATACAGCTTTATTCTGCTACATTGTCTGTCTTTCCTACCTGTCATGAGTTGTTGTGATTTTGAAATTTACTTTATTTTTAGCTCTGATGACACTACCTGTTTATATACAAATCAAGTATTAATACAGAGCTACAATTCGAACACAGCCCAGTTAAACTAAGAGTACCAGAAGAGATTAACAATCACTAGATGTGTAATTTTGCAGTCTGTAAACTAGAACAAATTATTGCACTGTTGTGTCAGACTGTGAATTAAGTGCCACATTGCAAAGGTTTCATATCAGTCAAAAATACCCAGCGTCTCCCCCTGGCTTAGAACACACAAACCCGTGACTTAAAGCAGTAAATGCCAGAGTAGCTAGCACGTCATCGCAGAGGGAGCACTACTGGGTGAGCAGTTACTGAGGGGACATGAGACAGCATGTCAGTGACAAGAAAGTCTTCCATGCTGGTGGCAATAGAACTGTGCCCATCCTTATGTCTCCACAGTACTGATCAGGTATTGAATTTGCTCACAAACAACTAACCTGTACTCCACTTCAGTTGAGTACTGAAAATATCAGTTCAACTTTCTTGAATTTTACATTACTCAATGTAAGATGGCCCTACACTCCACATATTGTTGAAAGCAACACAGATGGTGCACAGGTTGGCAGTTCCTTTCACTTACATCATTGTCAGAACAATTTGAATTTAATTACTAAATTAGCGAATTTGAGGCCCTTCAGGTTAATCTTCTTCATTTTATCAATAAAGTTCAAAAACCTAAAGGACAGTTTCAAAAATTAAAAGAATGTTCTGATAATTAACATTCAAATCATAGTGTCATTTGGCACATTTTAAAGTTAAGTCCTTACTCTACATAGCCCAGTCAAAAATGTCTGTAACCTGAGATAAATCTTATGTTTCAGTCCCTAGCCCTGTGGCATGGGATTAGCAGAGTCCTAGTAAACTTGTGAAGTTCAGTTCTTTTTAGTATGAATTTGTACTCAGATTTTCAAAACAGCTTCTAATTTTGAATCCTTTGAGCATATGACTTGAAGACATTACAATAGACTCAATTTTTCTTAATGTAGGCTTTGTTCAACCTACCACACAAACCCCATGTTTGCTAATCATCGTATGATGCTGCGCCAAGAAAATAAAACATTTTGTTTCAAGAAATTCTCTGCTGACAAAGTGATTTTTTGGTTGCCAAGCCGAAGAATTTTTAAAAATCCTTCACACAAATGTTATCTCTGAATGCAATCTGTAGAATCTGCTGGATGCTTTATACTTATGATGATAATGTTCAACTTATCTTAAACTAGTAGTATAAGACACTCTCTTTCTGTGTGTGTGTTTCTATTTTGCATATATCTAGAAATCATTTTTTCAACTATGAGTAAAAGTTAAAACTTTGCTAACCAGGTATGGTGTGACTGCAGACAGCCAGTGAAAGTTTCAAACTACATTTCTAAGATTCCCTTTCATTTTAGTCTCGCACAGCCACATTCCTGACACATTGAACTCCCAGATAATTAAATTATTTTTTTTATTTATAGGAGAATTTATAGGAGAGGTACTCTAGAAAGGAGCAGAATTCTGTGGTCCTGGGGTTTTCCAAGCCACAGAGAATTGAGATAGAGAAAAAGTAGAGCAGCTGCAGTAATTGCAGTTTTAGATCTCATTCGTGACCTCATGTGCAGTGCAATTGGCGATTTGTCTTGAGAGTCTTGATGAGAAGTACATAAAGTAAATTTGAAGGATTTTTCACTTTGAAGAAATGCTGTTGTAGGACTACAGAAAAACTTTTGAGCTGGAACCGTATCCTTAAATTAACTGTTCTCCTTATGTGGCTTGCCTAAAACCCTTGCCTGTTTGTCAAATGGATTTCAGTTGCTCAGAAAAGTTGACTGAGTAAAAACCATGGAAATAGAATTTCCATTAGAAATCAAACCCCAACGTTTAAAACTAAAAAACAGCTATAGATATAGGTCAAACTCTTCTGACAAGAAGAGTCTTGCTCATGACCCTGGCAACAAAAGAATAGTATGTTTGAACAACAAAAAAACAGTTGATTCCAGCTGACTGCTTTATAACAAACTGAAACAGAATTCATTTCAGGAAAAAAGAAACAAATCCTCCAAGATATTAATAGCACTTGATGTTAATGCCTACAGCAGTCACTTCTCTGTCACTTCATTTTTTAAATCATTTAGTGTTAGGACAACTACTTAACTTGATCAGGAGTTCTGATTTTTACTTTGTCTCCAAACTACTGGACTGGATAATTTTGTTAGCAATAAGCAACACTACTTAGATACTAACAGATAAATAAAAGAATTCTCATGTGCATTAATTCATCTCCCTCATAATTTCAATGAACAATCCTTCAACAGGACTGCTAAACACTATGGTCCACAAATTCAAGTGATTTCCTAAATTCAGTACCTGTGTAGTTGTTCTATTGCTCTGGAAGAAGAAATTCCTTTACCACTGTGTCACTGGGCTTACAATCATGTATCTGTGCCAATGCCATTGCACTCCACTATAACTGTGCATACATGAGAGAGCATTATGGTAACTTTGGATACCTCTCATTTCACAGAATCTTATTCTCCTTTTATATTCCTTTTTTCTTTAGGTTTCCCAGTTCCTGAGGTGAACTGGTATCGGGATGGCCAGGTTCTTTCTGCTGCAACTCTGCCCGGTGTGCAGATCTCGTTTAGTGATGGCCGCGCTAAACTGGTGATCCCCACCGTGACAGAAGCAAACAGTGGAAGATACACCGTACAAGCCACCAATGGATCTGGGCAAGCTACTAGTACAGCTGAGCTACTCGTCACAGGTATGAAACAGCTAAAGAAAGGCAGCTCCCTCTGCTGGCGGTGTGAGAGAGAGCAACAGCAGAAGTGTCAGTTAATGAAAAAGGTTTGGATTTAAACTACATGATCAGAAAAGAAATAGCAAACCAATTTGTTTTCCTAAAGCAGGCTAGAATTCAGCATGTATTCTGACTAGTATTTTCTAACAGCACCATTATACACATGTAACACTTAATTGCATAAAGTTTAATTTTGATCTTATAAACTCTCAACCATAATTACAAATTTCTGTCATAGCTTCTGCTCATGTAAGCTGTCACAGTGGCTTTAGTCAAACTATGCATAAAAGAAATTATAAAAGAAAAAATAGTTTTGCAGATATTTAACAGAATAACTCACATAAAGGCTCATACCCAGGAGACTGCACTTACTACCTATGGTTATACTCAATGTACCTCTAATTCTAGGAATATTTGCACACATGGGCATAGTCAGAAATATCAGAAATATTAAACATATGAAAAAAAGTTAAGGTTGTTTGCATTTTGGCAAATCAACTCTATGTTTTAAATGTTTGAGTCTGTAGTATCACCTGTCAGTAAAGTGAAAAACAAAAAGATCTGATGCAATTCTACCAATGAAAATATCTATCCCTTAAAGTTCTTTTTAACAGACATTATTGCTTTTCTATTTATTTCTTCAATAAAACTGCAGCTGGAACAGCACCACCAAACTTTTCACAACGACTACAGAGCATGACTGCAAGGCAGGGAAGTCAAGTTCGACTTGATGTGAGAGTGACTGGAATCCCTACACCTGTGGTGAAGTTTTATCGGGATGGAGTAGAAATCCAAAGCTCCCCCGATTTTCAAATTATACAAGAAGGAGACCTTTACAGCTTAATAATTGCAGAAGCATATCCTGAAGACTCCGGTACCTATTCAGTAAATGCCACAAATAATGTGGGACGTGCTACTTCAACAGCTGAATTGCTAATCCAAGGTAACGGAGGTGATGTTGCAAGCCATGAAAATAAGAGATTATTCATTGTTGTAACGGTACAATATGCACCACTTCATCAAAGTTATAGCAACAAGACAACTTATAACTTCTTTCTCAAGCAATATTAACTTGCTGTGAATAAACAGGGTTTTGGTAACCTTTGCAAAAGGGTTTTGTCTGAGAATTTCCTCCAGAATGGGTCTTTTTTAAACTGAGGATTCAGTGGACAGGATGCTCCACTGAGGATACTTTCACTTGTTCTTATTTTGCTCTGTAGGTTTCACAAAGTTGCATTTATAAGCTGTCTTTGACATAATAGATATATATTAGACAGCGTAACTGTACATGGCCTTGTAAATGAGCCTGATAAGGATGAAGGCAGTTCTTAGAGAACTGTAGCAGTGAATCATTTTACCTAGCACAGTCTTGCTTGGATTTTAACTCAGTCAGGCTTCCAGAATGTTTAGTTATTTGAGATCCAGGACTGGTTTTTTGTTTGTTTGTTTGTTTTTCTAATGACAGAGTAATGAAGAAATACTATTACAAGTGTTTTCACAATTATCTGCCTATAGATACTGCACGAAAAACACACGGTTGCTCAATTCTTTCTCTGTTTATATAAATTTGTATACAAAGGAAATTGACCATTCATTTATTTCTGCAACTGCTTGTTATTTGTTGCCATGTGCAATTCTCCTCACCATGTTTTTTCTTCCAAAAGGTGAGGAAGAAGCCGTTCCTGCTAAAAAGACAAAGACAATTGTTTCGACTGCTCAGATTTCACAAACAAGACAAGCCAGAATTGAAAAGGTATATTTTTCAAAAAACAAAGCTGGTAAGGTTAAAATGTGTATAATGACTTCTACAGTGTCTCAGACTTGTCTTCTTGATTTCTTTGTAGAAGACTGAAGCCCACTTTGATGCCAGATCACTTACAAGTGTTGAAATGGTCATAGAAGGTGCAGCAGCCCAACAGCTCCCACATAAGGCACCTCCACGAATGATTCCTAGACCTACATCAAAATCACCAACCCCACCAGTAATTGCTGCAAAAGCACAAATGGCACGACAGCAGTCACCATCACCTGTTAGACAATCACCGTCACCTGTAAGACATGTCAGAGCACCAACACCCTCACCAGTAAGGTAAACTTTTTATTCTTTCAAATAAGATTGCATTTTGAATCAACTTTCACATACAGAAGTAATGCTGTAGAATGACAGCACAGTATAAAATGGAAGAATTCACTGACTTAATGATAACTGTGTTTATTCTGATGGTGAGCTATAATGTGCTATATTTGCCACTGCTATAGAAGGGTGTGCCTCTTATGTAAACTTTCTATCCCATATGGAAGAAAATCCTTTAGAGAATAAACCCAATTTGATTGCTCTGTGTACAGCTGAAATAACACTCAAAGCTTCAAGTTCATGATGAAAGAGAAGAAAACGGTAAAGCAGTTCATGCTTGATTATTTTAGATGAACAGGGAAAAACAATGGCACTCAAATGAGTGGCAAGCAGAATGTGTATGCAGAAAAAAATGTTTTAAAATAGGTAAGTTAAATATGATTATGGGAAAATAATGTTTAGTTCTGCTAAAGAGTCTTAGGGGGAAAGTGAGTGATATAAAGAGCAGGGCTCATGGTCTGGGAGACCTCACGAAGCGTGTGCTGAGAAAGCAAGTAAGGAGAAACTGCTTTGGAAGTCCTGCAGTTTCAGCATCCTGAAAGGAATGTCTCTAAGCTGAGTGCTCAGAAGAGCCCCATTTAAATTGGCAGAGCTAGGTATGCTGGTGAATCTGGTCCCATTGAGAATAACTTGCAAGTACATGGAGAAATGTATTAGTAGTAACTGGCAATAACTAACAAGCTGCACAGATGAAAGAATAATTGTGCCATCTACAGTGTGTATGAAACTAGAAGTTTGTATTCCACTGCTTGTCAAACCACTTTTAGACATACGTTAGAAAATAAACCTAAAAATTAACATGATGCTGCCCTCTACTGCTGCAGTATGTTAATGTTCCCTGGGAAATACAGTATAAAAATATTCATGTCAAAGAAAATGTAACTTAGAAAGTTTATTAAATCATTTTGAGAAATGCTTTCAAACTATCTGTTAGGATCGGGACTGAATTCTCAATTTTGATATTCTAAAAAACTAGCACTTTCGAAGTGACTTCCAATTATTGTTGGGGAAATTTTAAATGTAAGTATGGGGAAAAATATAGATCAGAATCTTTCTTGCAATCTGAACACATGAAGGGATGACACATAGAAATGAGATGTGGTGCAGCAGTACATAAAGTTATGTTGTTGCTAGGTGGCTGACACATACAAAAAGCAGCTACTCTAATCATTTTGTCTCTCTACAGAGACTGGACCACAAACGTAGTATGCAATACAGCCTGTAAGCCTTTTATATTATTCCTATTAGGAGAATTATGATAGAGAAAATGGAAACTAATAATTTATATATATATATATTTATTTTAAGTATGTGTGCTTGAAGGAAATGCACTTTGACATTTGCCCTTATTTCTTTTTGGGAATCTAACTAAGCTACTATGAAGATATGTTACAGTTATGACAAAAGCACACATTAGGCATAATGTTAAAATCAGGTACGTGTAATATACAAGTAGAACACCTCAAAAACTTTTGTAAAATCAAACTAGTGAAGATACCCTAAATGGGGAGTGAATTCAAGTCCAGGCTGAAGTTGTCTGTATAATTGCTGTTGTATGACACAACATTAATTATATTAATACTTTATTTTTATAATAGGTCAGTTTCTCCTGCTGGAAGAATCTCCACCTCACCTATTAGACCAGTGAAATCTCCATCTCCAATCCGTAAAACACATATAGTGACAACAGCTGGGGCTGAAGTCCTTCCTCCTTGGAGGCAGGAAGGATATACTGCAACCACAGAAGCCCAGATGACGGAAACAAGAGTATCTACAAGTGCTACCCAAATAAGAACTGAAGAAAGATGGGAAGGAAGATATGGGGTCCAAGAACAAGTTACCATTAGTGGTGCTGCTGCTGAGGAGGTTGCAGCTGATGCTAGAGAGGTAAAGTCTATTTTTTGAAAGAGAGTTGGTTTTGCTTTATGTGTGGACTTGTCACAGCTGATTAGATTTGCTAAATGGAAGGCTGTGTATAAAAACGTGTGTGTACCTGCTGTCGAGAGTTCTGCTGTGAGTATTTAAATGCTTCTTTGCAACATTCTGTCTCTGTACTTGATTTTTGTGCTGCTTCTGAATGCAAAACATGAAAAAATGTCTTTTGATGTGACTAATATAGGTGAGAAAGGACAGTGAAAAAACAGCAGCTGTTGCTACGGTTGTTGCTGCTGTGGATCAAGCCATGGTGAGAGAACCAGCTCCAAGTGTTGTGGAGCAAACTACTAAAAGGACAGCAATGACCGCAGTCCACGTTCAGCCTGTTCAGGAGCAGGTAGAAATAGAACACAGTCATTCTATGGTTTCCCCTTTATCCCTTCATCCACCATGCCAACAAGGCATGATTCACTGTGAGGAATTAACAAGACATTACCCAGTACACCACAAAAGCATGACTGTAAAATAATGCTCATGGATCGCTTTTCCCATTGCTTTTCATCATAGCAGGATGGAACTAGTTATTCTTAAACTGTTTTCAAGTTTAAGAATGCTTTCTATGAAAGTGATCCTGTGTTTTCCCTTGTCATTCATTCTCTAACATTATTCTTACACTGGTGGAGTTTTTCCTCTAATGTCTCATTTACAGTTTACCCACTAGGTATAAAATAATTCTCCCTTAGTGTTTTCCCTTCGCTTACACTTTTCTCTTACTTTACCTTCTCCTTCTTTTGATGATCAAGTTGTTAAAATGAATTTTAAGGCTTTGTTTTTTTGTTTGTTGCTATAAAAATCAGATGAGAAAGGAGGCAACAGTAGTAGTTACCACTGATAAAGCCACAAAACAAACAGTAATATCAAGAACTAGAGAAGAAATTGTTACTTCAGAAGAACAAAGGCATATCTCTCTTGAAAAGGTGAATACAGATGTTACCTATGATTGTCATATTCTGTTAAAAAATTTAATGTCTCCTCAAAGGACAAGCCTATGAACAAGAAAAATGACATACCACAATACTATTTTTAGCTTCTCATAGATGCTCAGTGTTGCTAGTTTACATTGCTATCATTCTCCTATCTCTCCTTGATGATTCCTTTTTTTATTTCACTTCCATTAATACTGAAGGATGTGATAGATAAACTTGAAAAACTTTAACCTAGTAAAAAAATCTTTCTTTTATATACTGTATGGTGTTTTTTTTCTCTGATTTTGTTTCTAAGCTTGCTATTTGTACCCTGCTTTGTTGCCAGCACAGTGGGTGAGAAAAAAAAAAAAAAAGGAGCAAAAACTCATTCTGCATTAAAATCAATTTTAAAAATACTGATCCAGATTGTTTTCACATGTGTTTTATCAGACAAATGTGATGTAATGGAAGATCAGCTTTTATAGAGAAATATTACATCTGCATTCTAGTAGAAATGCACGAGGAATGAAGTGTAATCTATGTTTAAAGTACTTAGAAATAGAAATCAACCTTGGAAAAAAATCAGATGCTTATGTGCAGATTATAGCTGAACATGGAAAAGTGAAAATTACTTATTACTTGGTTTTAATATCCTATACTTTCTCAACTGATTATGATGCAGGACAGTTTTTCTCTGATCAGATTTTTTTTTATTTATTACTGCTTTCAGTAGCAAAGCAATCATTTGTGGAATGTTGTGTTGTTTTTATGTTTAACGTATATATGTTTTATAAAAGTCCATTTATGTTGTTATTTCCAGACTAAATGATTTTGAAATCCAGAATTCAACATTTTATTTCCCTTTCAGTTTTATCTTTTCCAAATGTATCAAAAATCACGTACCTTATACTTTTAAAAAATATATCATTTACACTTTCTTATTCATAAACACCTAGGTAAGAAAACAACCAGAGAAAACTCCAGTACCCACAGTAGTTATTGCCACAGAAAAAGCCAAAGAACAAGAAAGAATATCAAGAGCTAGAGAAGAAATATCTACCAGACATGAGCAAATTGCTCATGAAAAGGTAAATTACAGATGTTTAACTCACTGTTATACACCAAAAAGTTCATAAAACCTCATTCTTCATTAAATGTGCTACATGTCTTTGCTCTGCTTATATATGAAGATCAGTTTATAAAATGAAAAGTTTATAAAGCAAGGTAGTCCAGCCCAGTGTCTCAGGTCCAGGTCTACTGATTTCAGGGCAGCTCTGTCTAGAGGAGGAGTGCAGCTGTCAATCCTACAGATCTTTTGAACATTATGGCTTTTATTGTCAGGGTACAGAGAACTTCATCTTATGCTTAATGACCTCTGTTTTTTGTCTGAAGGTAGATTTCTAGAGGTAAATTGTAGAGGTTATCTCATGATATAATATTTATGCGTGGAATTTGATTTAATGAAGTTCATATTTGTGTGAGGATTGAATGCATCTGCTAGACTATATTGTGAAGTCTTTGTTGGAGTAACTGATGAAATAGTTTCATCTACTGATGGGAGCAAATATTAAGTCAGTAATACTCATTTTTCTGTAAGCAGAAAACAGTATCTACAAAATAATGTTATAGTACAATTAACACATGGATTAATGCAATATGTTAAATGACTGTTCAGCTAGCATATAGCTATACCTTGGTCTACACAAAGGGATTATTCAATTTCTCAAGTACTTTTTTTCTCTTCTTAATACACATTCTGAAATCTTATCCCACTTGCCAGGAAAGCTGTGTAATTTTGACAACAGGCATAATTGACTACTATTATTCTCTTTACCATAAAAACTAGATAAGAAAGGAAGATATGAAACCTTCTGTACCTAAGGTAGTAATTACCACTGGTAAACCTAAACCACCAGTCATAATATCGAAAAGTAAAGAAGGAATTGCTACCAGACAAGAACAAGTGAGCATAACCCATGAAAAGGTGAATAGCAATATTATAACTATATTTGGTTTTTTATCCTCTCGTCTTTAAAAACCTTGTGACGCTCAAAAAATACTAACTACACATTTCCAGATCATTTTTCTATGATTTATTTCACTTACAAACTTCCAGAACTACTGTCAATTAAACTTTATTATTCCACATCTATCTTGTTCTCCTAACTGTTTTCATTAATAAGGATGCCCATAATTCCCTTCTGATTGACATTTGGAACGGAATAACAGACTCTTGAAATGCATTCTAACTTTTTTTTTTATTTATTTTAATCATTACTTTTACTTAAGTAGGTGTGAGGGTGTGACATACTTATCAGCATACATATAATACAGAGCTGTGTGCAGTGCATAAGGATCTAACCCCTTCTTTTTAGTTTTTCCTCTTCCAAAATCCTTTCCCTTTGTTCAAACATCTTTCAAGATCATATGTAACTGAAACTTTTATTTTTGCTACAATAATTAGATTAAAAAGGAAGCTAAGAAAACTACTGTAGCTCCGAAAATAACTGCCACTGATAAAACCAAAGCACCAGTCACAGTGTCCAGAACTAGAGAAGAAATTACAGCCAAGCAAGAACAAATTCATCTAGCTTATGATCAGGTGACTATAGCTGTTTCAGATGTGAAATGGACTGTTACAATTTATCTGCAAACCTTACCTTTTAAGAGCTACTTGGGTACAATAGAATGCCTTCAAATATTCCTGATAACATAACACATCAAGTCGGATAATTGTCAAGTAACAGAGGCAGTGTGATTAAGTTTCTGGTGATAAAGAGGTTTTTGTCTCACTAGACATAAAGGAATATTATGAAATGCCACTTCTAAGACTACAGTCAGATTTCTCTCTGAAAGCCTACTCACTACCAATGACAATCAAGTAATATTTACTTGTTCAGATTTCTGAATGCAGTTTTTTCTTCTACATGATGATTCCTTGCAATGTTATGGTTGTAATATGAAACAACTGCTCTCTTTTCAAGTTTCAATTGCAATGTTGTTCATATCATAGAATCATAGAATCATAGAATAGTTAGGGTTGGAAATGACCTTAAGATCATCAAGTTCCAAACCCCCTGCCATGGCCAGGGACACCTCGCTCTAAACCATATTACCCAAGGCCTCGTCCAACTTGGCCTTGAACTGCCAGGGATGGAGCATTCACAACCTCCCTGGGCAACCTATTCCAGTGCCTCACCACCCTAACAGGAAAGAATTTCCTCCTTATATCCAATCTAAACTTCCCCTGTTTAAGTTTTAACCCATTACCCCTTGTCCTCCCACTACAGTCCCTAATGAAGAGTCCCTCCCCAGCATCCCTATAGGCCCCCTTCAGATACTGGAAGGCTGCTATGAGGTCTTCACACAGCCTTCTCTTCTCCAGGCTGAACAGCCCCAACTTTCTCAGGCGATCTTCATATGGGAGGTGCTCCAGTGCCCTGATCATTCTCATGGCCCTCCTCTGGACTTGTTCCAGCAGATCCATGTCCTTTTTATGCTGAGGGCATCAGAACTGTACACAATACTCCAAGTGAGGTCTCATGAGAGCAGAATAAAGGGGCAGGGTCACCTCCTTTGACCTGCTGGTCACACTCCTTTTGATGCAGCCCAGGATACAGTTGGCTTTCTGGGCTGCAAGCGCACACTGCTGGCTCATGTTCATTTTCTCATTGACCAGCACCCCCAAGTCCTTCTCCACAGGGCTGGTCTGAATCTCTTCTCTGCCCAGCCTGTAGCTGTGCCTGGGATTGCTCCGACCCAGGTGTAGGACCTTGCACTTGGCATGGTTAAACTTCATGAGGTTGGCATCAGCCCACCTCACAAGTGTGTCAAGGTCCCTCTGGATGGCATTCCTTCCCTCCAGCGCATCAACCGAACCACACAGCTTGGTGTCATTGGCAAACTTGCTGAGGGCGCACTCAATCCCACTGTCCGTGTCAGCGATGAAGATGTTAAACAAGACCGGTCCCAACACCGATCCCTGAGGGACACCACTCGTTACTGGTCTCCAGCCGGACATTAAGCCATTGACCGCAACTCTCTGTGTGCGGCCATCCAGCTAGTTCTTTATCCACCAAGTGGTCCATTCATCAAATTGATGTCTCTCCAGTTCAGAGACAAGAATGTCGTGTGGGACAGCGTAGAACGCTTTACATAAATCCAGGTAGATGACATCAATTGCTCTACCACTGCCCATCAGTTCTGTAGCCCCATCATAGAAGGCTACCAAATTGGTCAGGCAGGATTTCCCCTTAGTGAAGCCATGCTGGCTGTCACCAAGCACCTTGTTGTTTTTCATGTGCCTTAGCATGCCTTCCGGGAGAATCTGCTCCAAGATTTTGCCAGGCACAGAGGTGAGACTGACTGGTCTGTAATTCCCTGGGTCATCCATTTTCCCCTTCTTGAAAATGGGGTTATATTTCCCTTTTTCCAGTCGTCGGGAACTTCACCTGACTGCCATGATTTTTCAAATATGATGGCCAGCAACTTAGCAACTTCATTCGCCAGCTCCCTCAGGACCCGCGGATGGATTTCATCAGGACCCATGGACTTGTGCACATTCAGATTTTTAAGATGGTCTCGAACCAATTCCTCTCCCACAGTGGGCCCAAGGTCTTCATTCTCACAGTCCCTGCATCTGCTTTCCAAGACTTGTGTGGTGTGGTGAGAGCCTTTGCTAGAGAAGACCGAGGCAAAGAAGTCATTCAGAACCTCAGCCTTCTCCAAATCCTGTGTAGCTAGTTCACCTGAGAGCTTCCTGAGGGGGCCTACATTCTCCCTAATCTGTTTTTTATTTGCTATGTACCTGTAGAATCCCTTCCTGTTATCCTTAATATCCCTAGCCAAGTTTAATTCTAACTGGGCCTTAGCTTTCCTAACCTGGTCCCTAGCTTCCCGGACAATATCTCTGTACTCTTCCCAGGCCACCTGTCCTTGCTTCCACTTTCTATAAGACTCTTTTTTCATTTAAATTTTCCTCAGCAGCTCCTTATCCATCCAAGGAGGTCTCCTGGCCCTCCTGCTGCACTTCCTTCTAGTTGGGATGCAACACTCCTGAGCTTGTAGCAGGTGATCCTTGAAGACCAACCAAGAGTCTTGAGCCCCCCTGCCCTCTAGGGCTATATCCCATGGAACCTTACTAAGCAGGTTCCTGAAGAGGCCAAAGTCTGCTCTTTTGAAGTCTAGGGCAGTGAGATTGCTCTTCTCACTGTCCTAAGGATCTCAAATTCGACCATCTCATGATCGCTGCATCCAAGGCTGCCCTGCAGTGCCACATTTCCAACGAGCCCTTCCCTGTTGGTGAGCACAAGGTCAAGCATGGCACCTCTCCTTGTCGGTTCCTCTATTACTCACAGAACAAAGTTGTCTTCCACACAATCGACGAACCTCGATTAACACAAACTTTAACATCTGTTCAAGTCTGTACAATTTATTACTTCTGACAATCAGACCCTAGCAGACATGGCTTTCTTCCTGTAGGACTCCTACAGTAGAAAAGCTTTCTTTCTGATTTTAATACAGCCAGGATCTCTCATATGTGGAAGAATAGCATAAATATTGGCTATAAAAGATTGCAGCTTTTATGTAATTCTATTGATCAACTTTGTTAGAAACTGTATGGTACATTCATAAAACAATTTTATAAAATACAATTGAAAGAGCACAACATATAAAGCTCAGAAGACTCAGAATACTAAGAGACTGCAGTTGCTTGTTAGAGGATGTAAATTTAGGGTAAAATTCAAATTGGTACAAACAATGATTTTGAATATAGGCAATAATACTGAATAAGACATCTTTGTTACCTAAGCACTAAAAATAAACAAATCTCTGCAAATGATCACATTTTAGCCTCACTTGTTATTTTATTTCAAGGTGATAATGACTTTAAAATCAGCATGAAGTTATCTATTAGGAAGGTATCCTATCTACAAGGCATAAATAGGATATGCTTTGGTGCTACCTCCAGATCAGTTATGACAGTAATAATAAACACCAGTTAATAAACACCAGTAGTGACTGTCCTATTACCTATTGTTGTCTGACAGGACAAAAATTAAGACTCCGATAACACAGAATTTGACAGTAGTTATCAGTTATAAGAAAAAAAAGAAAATTCCTGGTGCAAATGTGTTATTTCCAATGCCTCAGAAAACTCAGTTTTTCTTCTTTTGCAAAATAATTTGATAATTAGCCCTGAAACAACCAATATGCCTGGGGTAAAGTTTTTTATGGGTATATTCCATAGTAAATACATTCATATCAGGTGCTAAACACATTCTCTACATTTTTAGTAGCATCTAACAGTTTCATGGAGCTGATCAGCATACTGACTTTATGTGTACATGTACATATCTGCCAAAAGTAGCCGTAAATGTAACTATGAAGTATTAAAAGAGAGCTTGCATACAAATATTGATATGTATAAAGCAGACAAGCATATCTATCTTGAATGTGCAGATAGAGCTTCGAAAAGACTATATCTGAGTCTACTGACTCTGAAACGTATTTATGTGTGAACATATTTGATGATTACATTATTACTTTTGCATATGTATGCACACTTTCTTTTTTTGTAATATACTTTACTGAGCTTTATATTTATAAGTATTTGCCATATATGTAAGCCTTTAATATAATGATGAATATTTGTATAAATTTTGCCAATGTTATCCATAGACTGAAGCTGGAAAAAGGGCTGAAGCTGTAGCTACAGTTGTTGCCGCAGTTGATCAGGCACGTGTTCGATCACCCTGGGAACAACAACAAGTGGATGAAGCTTATGTAAAGCAGAAAACTTTGGAGTATGGCTATAAAGAGCAAGTAACAGACCGGGCTGCTGCTGTGACAGACCGGGTTGCGGAGGCCCCAGCAGAACGTCATGTTGTCACTAAAGAAGTTAAAACTGTCTATGTTCCTCCTGAAAAACATATCTCTGCTGCTGAAAAGAAGGAAGTTCAGATATCAACAGAGGTTAGACATTAGGTTACATTGCATTCTTTTCCAAAAACTGTGTCCCGGTGAAATCTGTTTAAGTTTGGAGAACAGCATCACATTCTCAAAAACTTTTTTCATTGCTTTGTGTAGATAAAAAGAGCAGCAGAAGCTAAGACGGAGAAAACAATTCATGTTGAACACCCACGACCTCGCACAGCAAGTCCTCACTTCTCAGTCTCAAAAATTGCTGTTCCTAAACCAGATCATACATATGAGGTAGGATGTGAAAACTGTATCCAAGAATAATTTGCTCCTTTATAGTAACAAGTGGGTCACCCTTTCCAAAGGCTTTTCCTCCTGCTCCAGTATGGTGCTTTCCCAAGAAGAGTTGTCTGCTCTTTGCAACTGTTTTTGTTTACAGCAGTGCTGTAAACAGATACATGAACTGCTAACATTTGATTTGTAATTATTAGTATTTAACACAGCTTATAATCTGTATAAGGATGCAGCTTCAATACATCATGTCATACAATGAAAACATAAATGTATCATGAAACTTATGTTTTTTAAAGACAAGAAGTATCCCTTTTCAGTCTTATGTGCATCAGTTCACTAGCACATTATACATATTGCTTCTTTCTTCCTTGCAGTTTACTACGTAATAAGCTAATTTTTGCGGTAGAAAAAAATCCAGACTGTATAATACTACACTATCCATTTTAATGTGTTTTTTTTTTTCCTGTTCTTCTATTCAGCTCCTTCACATTTAATTAAAAGTTCCCATTCAATGAATTTTCTCATTCAAGTACTCTCTCTTCACGTGGACCTTTAAAAGTGAAAGTTTTTTTCCGCTCAAAAAACCATTAAACACTATAAAAACTACCTAAGCTTTTTTTTTCTTGAAAGATTTATGTATGTTTGCCAATGTTATCACATCTAAAATAACATTTTGAAATCTCTTTTTTTAATCAATGACAGTTATATAATTAGTAGTGTTATTGCAGTATTAGACTGATTAAATGGAAAGCTAAGGCCTCAAGCGAATAAATTTAGAGGACATTTCTCATGTTGCATTTAAGAGCTTCTTCACAATTTAAAGATCAAATTCTAAAGTAAAATGTTAAACATCAAAAATAATACAAAGATATTATATCTCTGGTATTCTACTTCAATCTAAAACTAGAATTCATTTTTTGTATATGTAGCTTTTGTAGTAACAACAAATAAGTGACTAAGGAAGCAACTGGTACATATGCAATCTGCTTAAGAATGGCGTGTTTTAATGTTCCCTTTGAAAACAAGAGAACAACAAAGCTGTAACTCTTGCTCTTCTATTCCTAAGGTTTCAATAGCTGGATCTGCCATGGCTACTCTGCAAAAAGAGTTAGCTACTACTGCCGTCCAAAAGATCACCAAGCCTGTGAAGCCACCTCAGCTAAAGCCTCAAGAAGTCAGGATAAAAGCAGAGCCAGTTGCCCCTCCACAGTTTCCTTTTGGAGAGGCTGCTGAGGCCTATAAAAGTCATTATGATGTTGAGACTAAAAAGGAGATAGGTGTAAGCGTTAAAGGTGAAGCAGTGCGAGAAGAACACTTGATGTTACGGAAAGAAGGTGAAGAAAAGGTATGTTATTAAGCAAATTTCCATCACTTTGACTGACTCACATCTTAAAAACATAGCATAGCCTCACTTGTTTGCTGTTTTCTCACTACAATTTTTCTCTTTTACAGCATTCTACTGACTTTTCTCTCTTTGTTTTACACAAATCCTTCTAAGGACCTAATATTTACCTATGACAAGCAAAGAGTTTTCTTCAATTTCTTATCTAAATTCTGCTGTTTATGTCCTTGGCTTTGTTAAGTGTTTATTAACTGTGTTTTAAACAACCTAGGTGACAGAAACTGCCAGAGTTCCTGTGCCTGCAGAAATCCCTGCTACTCCACCCACCTTTGTCTCAGTAAGTAATTTATATCCAGATTAGGGGATTTTCATTATGTTTTTACCCAGTTTGCATTTTGAATTTTATCTTTAAAGACCTGAACATGAAAATTGTCTTTTAAACTCTGTATTAAACTTATTATCCACACAATTTGTCTCTGATGCAAACTATTCTGAATGTCTGTTATGGTGGTGATTCTTCACAATTGTCACATAGTAGGTTGACCTATGCAGCAGTGAAACAGTTTCTCACCATGATCTGCATAAACATCAACCTAACTTTTAATTTTCTTGTTAATAAAAGTGGTGTTCAGAGTTCCCAAATTCAGTTTCAAATACTTCCCTTTGGAAAATGCCACTTTTTTCCTGGGTACACTGCTGAACAGAACACTGTTTTGAAGTAGACATTAATTTTTCCATTCAAATAGGTTTTAGTTAATTCAATGGCTATTCAGCACTGAAAATATCTACTGACTGTGATACCTGGTTTTTGTCATACAGGGCCTCAAAAATAAGACTGTGACTGAAGGAGAGTCTGTCACTCTGGAGTGCCATATCTCTGGTCATCCTCAGCCTACCATAACATGGTACAGGGAAGACTACAAGATTGAGAGCTCAATGGACTTCCAGATAACTTTCAAAGCAGGGCTTGCTCGCCTTGTGATTCGTGAAGCTTTTGCAGAAGACAGTGGAAGATTTACGTGCACTGCTACGAATAAGGCTGGGAGTGTCAGCACATCTTGCCACTTATGTGTGAAAGGTATATATATTTATAGGCTGATAGAATCATTTAGGTTGGAAAAGACCTTTCAGATCATTGAGTACAACTGCTAGCCTAACACTGCCAAGTGCACCACTAAACCATGTCCATGAGCACCACATGCATGTTTAAATACCTCCAGGGATGGTTACTCAACTAATTCCCTGGGAATCCTGTTCCAACTGATAAACCTTTTGGTGAAGACATTTTTTCTAATATCCAATCTGGACTTCAGGCTATTTCCTCTTGTCAATGTAGGAGGAATATAATTTTGTTGACTGAATATTATTAGTAATGTAACTTAGGCATTTTGTCAGCTCCCGAGTAGAATATATGCCCTGAATTGTATTCCAGGGCGGTTAGGTAACAGGGCTGTAAGAACATGAGGAAAAGGCCAACTTGTGTACTGATGAAGACTCTTAAATTGCTTCCTCAGTGGAAGTACCTGGCCCTCTGAGCCAACCAACTACTTAACCTTCTCTTTCTTTGAGACAACTAGAGTAATTGCTTAAGCACTATTAAAGTATTTTAAATTCCACTTTGTGGTGTTTGCATTGCAGTTTCAGAGGAAATTGAGACTCGAGAAACCATTTCTGAGAAAGCTGTTAGAGAAGAGAAACGGTAAAGTTACTTTCCTAAACAGACTACTGCTACTGTGGTCTTTAGTTTCTTGAATTCTGTTTAAGAGAATTTCAGACATCAGCTGACTTACTTACCTGCATTGGAATCTTATTTCAGCTACATGGAGACAAAAGACATTGTAATGGAAGATGTCTCTGCTGCAGTAGAGGAAGTATCTGGAGAACCCATACCTCCTTTCTTCATAAGAAAACCCATGGTACATAAATTAATTGAAGGTGGGAGCATTATTTTTGAATGCCAAGTAGGAGGCAACCCAAAGCCACATGTCTACTGGAAAAAAGGTGGAGTTCCTCTAACGACTGGCTACAGGTACTTTGAATACAATCACAAAATCTATCTCAACATAATTTTTAGGAATATTTCATTTACATTACTATAATTTTCATTCCCTTAATGATGCTAAGACAAACAACATCACTTATTTCTGTGAAATATTATTTCTAAAATGGCAAAATCATAGCATCATGTCTTAATATGAGAATTTGAAGGCCAAGTTTCAAAATACAAACATTCAAAAGACCATAAAATGAGAAATATTTCATATGTTTAAAAACAAATCAGGAAGAAGTTTTACATTTTTTTACTCTGTTTATGATTCTACAATTCTATGCCATGTTTGTATTCTGACTGGAAATGCTGTCTATTGAGAGCAACACACTTTCTAGCAGAGGAGAAAAACAAACACATTTGTAGCATTCTTGAAATAAATCATGCTATAATGACCCATATTAGGACAAATTACGTGCACACAGCATATACCATTTTACTGTGTCTGATAATTGACTTCAATATTTCTGTTTGTATTGCTGTTTGCATGCCATTCAGACAACAGACAGAAAGTAGACCTGTAGCCTAGTTTCAGCATGGTTACATTGCCTGCACTGTTCTGCAGGTTCATTGAGTGAGAACTGCCTGCTGAAGTTTCAGTCTTTGTCTTGCATAAGTTAGGAGTGATTCCAATTAATTTTATGATTAAAAGCAAATTCACTAAAAAATTATGTTAATCAGAATTATAGAGAACTTATACTTTTGTGTTTTCTACAGATACAAAGTGAGTTACAAAAGAGAAACCGGGGAATGCAAACTTGAAATTTCCATGACTTTTGCCGACGATGCCGGAGAATATACTATTATTGTTCGTAATAAACATGGCGAAGCTTCTGCAACGGTCTCCTTACTAGAAGAAGGTACATTGCAGGAGAGAAATGTTTCTTAAACTTAACTCTAAATTGTGAAAAATATTTTGAATTTTTCTGCAAATTCAGTGCATCCTAGTTTAGTCAATTCAAGAAATGTAAAGGGAGATTGGGTGGCTCTGTTTCTGCAAAACAGATTATTTGACCTCAGGCTCTTGAAAGACTTTATTCTTTGCTAGAATGTGGACCTACAGGAACCTTCTTCCTTTGGCATCCATAACAGTCTGCATAACATAAGACATTCAGAGAGTGATGTAGGGAAAGGAAGCTAATCAAGTAATAGGTTATTCTATTACAGGAAAAAAAAACTTTTTATTTTTTTTTTATTTCCCCTTGTAAAAATGCATGAAAGTTTGTAGGAGACAGAGCCATGGTGAAGAAACTGTAAAATAGTCTCTATAGGTGCTTTCACTTTCAGAACTAGAATACCTAAATAGCACAGTAAAACTTCTACCTGTTTATAAAGCTCATCTGAGCTTTGGATTTTATTGCCGTTTGTCCTTTATTGGCTAAACAGACAGAAACTCTGCTTGAATCACCGAAACCAGTAAAATAAATGTGTACTTGTTTTCTCTATTCAATCCAGTGAAAATCACAATTTATCAAAATTAATGTGTTCTTAATTCTTAGCTGATTATGAAGCCTACATAAAATCCCAGCAAGAAGCAATGTATCAAACTCAAGTGACTGCATATATTCAGGAACCTAAAGTGGCTGAGGTAGCCCCAGCTATTTCATATGGTGACTTTGAAAAAGAGTATGAAAAAGAACAAGCCCTAATTAGGAAGAAAATGGCGAAAGATACAGTGATGGTCAGAACTTTTGTAGATGAGGTATGTCTACCACTCCATACCAATTTTGTATACTGACACCAGTACAAATTGCTGGTAAAGTACAAATCACTTCTTTACAAGGTCTGAGACACAGAACTCCTGTTTTTTTTATCTGTAGGAATTCCATATTTCTTCTTTTGAAGAAAGACTTATCAAGGAAATTGAGCTCAGAATTATTAAGACCACCTTAGATGAACTTCTTGAAGAAGACGGTGAGGAGATGATGGTCGATATTTCTGAATCCGAAGCTATAGAAGCAGGATTTGATTTAAGGTTAAAGAATTACAGAACTTTTGAAGGAACAGGAGTTACTTTCCATTGCAAGACAACTGGATATCCATTGCCAAAGGTACTCCAAACCTGGTTAACATTAATCTATATTTAAAAAACATCTGGTGCTCTACTTGAAAAATCCCTTAACATCTCATTGTCAGACATTCTATATTATGCATAGAAAAAAGCAAATCTCAAAGGAAATCCAGTCTTTTGCTTTGATATTAAACTGAATTTTCCTTTTGTCCCTGAATAAAATAGTGTTAGGTTGATTAGCCAGTTCAGAGGTAGAAACCTCTAACCAATAGATTTACCAGCTAAATTGGTCTTGATTCTGAGTATCTCTTAGTTAGCCCACACAAGAGGAGAACACAGTAGCAAGTTCAGTCTAGGTCACTTTGCTCTCCATCAAAATGGGCTTTATATGTATTTCTAGTTCCAAATTTCATGTTTCAGGCTACTGTGAAAACACACTATTTTAGTCTTTCTATCAAGTAAAAATATTCATGTTAACACATGCACTTGGGTTGTGATGATGCACCAGCTGAAAAGTAAGAAATTGTAATATGTTTTATGCATGGATCATTACTGGACCTTTGTCTTTAGGAGAGCTCACATAGCATTCCATTGTTTCTTTCCATGCAGATTGCATGGTATAAAGATGGTAAACGCATAAGGCACGGAGAACGCTACCACATGGAAGTTCTGCAAGACGGCAGTGCTAGTCTCCGTTTGCCTGTTGTTCTACCTGAAGATGAAGGAATTTATACTGTTTTTGCCAGTAACATGAAAGGAAATGCCATTTGCTCAGCAAAACTCTACGTTGAGCCAGTTGCACCCACAGCAACTCCAGGTTATATGCCAGGACCAGAAGTTATGAGAAGATATAGGTATGTACAAAATAATATATAAATTTCATAAGACTTTAGTGTGCTGTGAGAGACAGTCCAAAAACTCATTATGTAGCAGCTAAACAGCTTAAGTTATTGGAGTCTGTGTGCCTCTACAGGAGATGTAAATGTTTTTTTCATGGCTTATATTGATTTTTGTGGCAATTCTTTGTCTGATTTTCCTTCTTAATGAGCAATGCACTTTCCAGAGCACTATCATTCACATGCCTATCCAGTCACAGTATCAGATTTCTGACCTCCTAACCATATTTATTTCTTAAGTACTAATGTTTTGGGAAAAAAATTATTCTGCAGTTGGAGTTTTAGTACTGTGTGCAGCTCCTATTTCCCACCCTTGAAATAGCTGTATTTCTATATCAGAAAAAATCCAGCATTGCCATGACGTGTGTTCTGTTTCCATATACGTACACACACATGCACAGGATTACATTCATATCTGTACAATATCCAAAACCCCAAAACTTTCCTGGCTGTGATGTATGCTATTCAGCTGTAAAAACTGCTTGCAAAAACATAAAGAAAATTGACTATGAATAAAAACTAATTTTGTCATGATTTCTCATATAGATAAATTAGTTAAAACTTTTTTTAGAATGAATTTTGCTAAAGGAAAATGTTAAACTCTTTTTAGCATGTCAACCCACTGCTGTATGATGTGACCATACATCTGTCTTATCTTTTACTTCAAGGTCTATTTCTCCACGATCTCCAAGCAGGTCTCCTGCTCGCAGTTCTCCTTCTCGTTCTCCTGCCCGCAGATTAGAAGAAACTGATGAAGGGCAACTAGAGAGACTATACAAACCAGTTTTTGTGCTGAAACCTACATCATTTAAATGTTCACAGGGGCAGACAGCAAGATTTGACTTAAAAGTTGTTGGCAGACCTATGCCAGAGACATACTGGTTCCATAATGGTACATCAGCCTCATTTTCTTCTATGCGTTTTACATATGGTTGAGGCACTGTTTTGAGTGAAACTTTTATTTCATTTTTTAATGCATCTGCAGGTCAACAAGTGATTAATGACTACACCCATAAAATAGTGATCAAAGAAGATGGCACCCAGTCATTGATCATTGTTCCTGCTATGCCGGAGGACTCTGGAGAATGGGCTGTAATTGCTCAGAACAGGGCAGGCAAAGCCTCAGTCTCAATGACACTGACAGTGGAAGGTATCTATTGTGCACACTATTTTTAGGAGGCTAAGGAGTGTTTCTTATTAAAAACTGTGGTTGTGCCATTTCCTCTTGTGATAACTTACCCTTCCTCTTTCAGCCAAGGAAGACCTAGTCAGACCACACTTTGTGGAAAGGCTGAGGAATGTTAGTGTAAAGGAAGGCTCTAGACTGGAGATGGCAGTGAAAGCTACTGGTAACCCTAATCCTGACATTGTATGGCTGAAGAACAGTGACATCATTGTACCTCATAAATACCCCAAAATAAAGTAAGCATTTTTATCTTGTTTAAATAGGAAAGGAGTTAATAATCATCATCCTGCACATTGCCTCCTACAGCATGCTGACTAACCCCAATTCCATAGAAAGGATTCATTAAGGGCTTAGACCAATGGCTACTGAAGTTACAGCTTTTGCATTGCAGCAAGGCTAAGAGATCTAAAATATCTAATAGGATTCACTCATTTTTTCCAGGTTGTGTATTTGTGTATTTTGTATTCTGCAAAGCTTTAACAACAGAGAGTTAGGGAAACTTTATCTGTCTCTGCAAGCAAAAAAACCCAACATTGAATTCAATACTGGGTATTATTATCCTCATCTGTTTGATTCATAGGCACTACATTCATAAATATAAACATGAATACACATAAACATGTCTAATTCCTCCAGAGATTTGCCTTTGGAAGTTTTGACATCATTTTGGAGAAGGGCAAAACTGAATGATAAAGAAGTACACAAAATGTAAAAATCCCAATTGTTTTAATATTTCAGGATTGAAGGAACCAAAGGGGCAGCTGCCCTTAAAATCGAATCTACTGCCAGGCAAGATGCTGCATGGTATACTGCTACTGCTATCAATAAAGCTGGGCGGGACACTACTCGGTGCAAAGTAAATGTTGAAGTTGAACATACAGAACCTGAACCAGAAAGGAGATTAATCATTCCAAAAGGAACTTACAAAGCCAAGGAGATTGCAGCACCAGAGTTAGAGCCTCTCCATTTGCGTTACGGTCAAGAGCAATGGGAGGAAGGAGATCTCTACGACAAAGAAAAGCAACAGAAACCATTTTTTAAGAAGAAGCTTACATCTTTAAGGCTCAAACAATTTGGACCAGCACATTTTGAGTGCAGGCTTACACCAATTGGTGACCCTACCATGGTGGTGGAGTGGCTGCATGATGGCAAACCCTTGGAAGCAGCTAACAGACTCCGCATGATCAATGAGTTTGGGTACTGTAGCTTGGACTATGGAGTAGCCTATTCCAGAGATAGTGGAGTTATCACTTGCAGGGCAACCAACAAATATGGTACAGACCATACATCTGCTACTCTGATTGTCAAGGATGAGAAAAGCCTTGTGGAAGAATCCCAGTTGCCAGAAGGCAGAAGGGGGCTGCAGCGAATTGAAGAGTTAGAAAGAATGGCCCATGAGGGTGCTCTTCCTGCAGTTGCAATGGACCAAAAGGAAAAACAAAAACCAGATATAGTTTTGGTTCCTGAACCTGCAAGAGTCCTGGAAGGAGAAACAGCACGATTCCGTTGCCGTGTGACTGGCTATCCTTTGCCCAAGGTCAACTGGTACCTCAACGGACAGCTCATCCGTAAAAGCAAAAGGTTTAGACTCCGTTATGATGGAATCCACTACCTGGATATTGTGGACTGCAAATCGTATGACACAGGAGAGGTGAAAATCACTGCAGAGAATCCAGAAGGCTTTATTGAGCATAAGGTGAGACTTGAGATCCAGCAGAGGGAAGACTTCAGATCTGTTCTTCGTCGGGCACCTGAACTCAAACATGAGCCTGTACTGCCAGAGCCTGGAAAACTTCTCTTTGAGGTACAGAAGGTAGACAGACCTGCAGAGGCAACAACCAAAGAAGTGGTGAAACTGAAAAGAGCTGAAAGAATCACTCATGAGAAGCTTTCAGAAGAATCTGAAGAGCTGCGTAGTAAATTCAAGCGTAGGACAGAAGAGGGCTATTATGAAGCCATCACTGCTGTGGAACTTAAGTCTCGCAAAAAAGATGAATCATATGAAGAAATGTTGAGAAAGACAAAAGAAGAACTTCTTCACTGGACCAAAGAGATCCCAGAGGAAGAGAAGAAAGCACTTCCTCCTGAAGGCAAAATCACCATTCCAACATTCAAACCAGAGAAGATTGAGCTTAGCCCAAGTATGGAGGCTCCCAAGATACTTGAGCGCATTCAGAGTCAGACCGTAGCCCAAGGAGCAGATGCACACTTCCGTGTGAGAGTAGTGGGAAAACCAGACCCTGAGTGCCAGTGGTTCAAAAATGGTGTGCAGATTGAAAGGACTGATCGTGTTTATTGGTACTGGCCTGAAGACAATGTTTGTGAATTAGTAATTAGAGATGTGACTTCTGATGATTCTGCCAGCATCATGGTGAAAGCAGTCAATATAGCTGGTGAAACTTCTAGCCATGCTTTCCTGTTAGTACAAGGTAATTTAAATTCTCTTACTTTCATCCTACTGCTTACCATAGTCTGTAGGGTCAGTGCATTGTTGATTCATTGCATATTGTTTTGCAGCCAAGCAGTTAATCAGCTTTACCCAGGAGTTACAAGATATTGTTGCAAAACAGAAAGACATCATGGCAACATTTGAATGTGAGACATCAGAACCCTTTGTCAAAGTGAAATGGTTTAAGGATGGAATTGAGATTCATTCTGGAGAGAAATACAGGATGCACTCAGACAGAAAAGCTCATTTTCTTTCTGTACTGGCAATTGAAATGTCTGATACTGATGACTACAGCTGTGCACTGATAGAAGATGAATCCATAAAAACTACTGCAAAGCTTACTGTTGAAGGTAAGAACACAGCACAATAACATGCAGTACTATTAAACAGGAATAAATAAAATAATTTAAACTGATGTCTAAGCAACTAAGAAATGTTCAAGCTGCTTCCATGTTCTTGGAATCCAGTATGAAAGTTTGGAGATATAGTTATGTAAAATGGTTACACCTCATATATATATATGTATATAATATATAAGCTGTATAAAGTGTGTTTATATATATAATACATATAATACATAAGGTATATATTATATATATAAAAACTTTCTTAGGCTCATTTAATAAGAAATGTTTTTATCACGGGGATCTAATGAAGCTTATTCATGAATGTAATTATTTTTGCCTGTAGGTGCTGTGGTTGAGTTTATTAAAGAACTTGAGGATATTGAAGTACCAGAATCCTTGTCAGGTGAACTTGAATGTGAGGTTTCCCCAGAAGATGCAGAAGGGAAATGGTATCATGGCGATGTTGAACTCACTTCTAATCATAAGTATGTGATCACATCCCGCCGTGGTCGCCAAATCCTCACTATTAAAGATGTTACTAAAGATGATCAAGGAGAATACAGCTTTGTTGTTGATGGAAAAAAGACTCAATGCCAACTGAAAATGAAGCGTAAGCCTTTCTAATACTTACATTGTCTCTGTATTATAGATTTTCTATATTGCACCATATATTATAGCTATATTGCTATATCCCATAGTGCCTTAATATACAATATTCTGCTTATCTGTTATGAGGATTAACTTCATTTCATTCCACAGCTCGTCCCATGGCTATTCTTCAAGGACTTACTGATCAAAAAGTCTGTGAGGGAGACATTGTACAGCTTGAAGTTAAAGTCTCCCTAGAAAATGTTGAAGGTGTCTGGATGAAAGATGGTCAGGAAATTCAATCAAGCGATCGTATTCACATTGTGTTGGATAAACAGTCACACATGTTACTTATAGAAGATGCAACAAAGGAAGACAGTGGAGCTTACTCTTTCAGTGCTCCTGGTCTTGGACTGTCAACCACTGGACAGATCACAGTATACAGTAAGTCATTATCATGATGTTGAAGATGCATTTGGTCCTTTAGGATTTCTTCTCAAAGGCCTAGTTTTTTCATGACAATTTTTATTTTCTTTATAGGTGTGGAAATAGTGGTGCCACTAAAAGATGTTCATGTAGTTGAAGGAACAAAAGCTATCCTTGAATGCAAAGTTTCAGCACCTGATGTGACTTCCTCCAAATGGTACTTAAATGATCATCAGATAAAGCCTGAAGAACGTGTACAAGCTGTTTGCAAAGGCACTAAACAGAGGCTTGTGCTTACCAGAACCTATGCATCAGATGAAGGATATTATAAGCTGATGATTGGCAAAGTTGAAACAAGTTGCAATGTCACAGTTGAAAGTAGGTTTCCTTTAAGATGCACTGTGCTTTGTGAAATTATTTTTTAAAATACAAGACTGTGGAAATAACAAATATATTTGTATTTTATTCTTTTATAGAAATTGAGATTATTAGAGGTCTTCATGACATCACCTGCACTGAAACTCAGAATGTATCCTTTGAGGTGGAGCTCTCCCATTCAGGAATTGATGTAATCTGGCATTTCAAAGACCGAGAAATAAAGCCTGGTCCTAAGTATAAAATTGAAGCACATGGCAAAATATATAAATTGACAGTGGTGAAGATGATGAAAGATGATGAAGGAGAGTATGTATTTCATGCTGGAGAGAAGAAAACATCTGGAAAGCTTATAGTAGCAGGTTAGTATTGTTAAAGTCCACGATTTTTATTTCACTGTGATTTACAAACAATTTTCAATGTTACAGTTTTTTAGGTGTAGTTATTGTGCTGTTTCTGCACTTTTCTTGTCTTTACCTTTTTTCTATCTTCTCCTTGCTCTTCCCCTTATCTTTTGTGATTGGTATAATTTGAATTCAACAAATCTTTTAAGTAAATGCTAATATGTTTTGCTAAATCAAAGCTATAGTATGGAATGCTGTAGTATGCTTTTGATGTAATTAATGTAATAATTTTTTTTTTGTCTTGAAAGTTCAGTGTACTTACAGTGATAATAAAAATAATAAATGAGAATAACTAGGATAGAATTAAGAAACATCTTTTTGTGATGGTCAGGTCACATTCTATTCTTAATTTTTCACAGAACTCAGAATGTCTATGGGCATGCTGCAAATTAGGGCAAAGAATTCTTTACATATGATTGTACTTTGTATGTGGGAAAGTTGAACAGCAGTAAAACAAAAACATGTGGTCTGCTTCCCAACAGGTGGTGCCATTTCAAAGCCTCTCACGGATCTGACTGTGGCTGAGTCCCAGACATCTGTTTTTGAATGTCAGGTGGCAAATCCTGAATCAGAGGGCCAGTGGCTAAAACATGGTAGACCATTAGCTATGACAGATCAGTACCGTGCTGAATCTGATGGTGTAAAGAGAAGGCTCATTATCCCTGTCACAAAAATGGAAGATATGGGTGAATATAGCTATGAAATAGCAAGCTCAAAGACAACTGCCAAACTGAAGGTTGAAGGTCAGTATTCTTTATAATTAACTGTTTTCTTTAAGATTCAGTCCAGCATTACGCACTGTGTCTTGGATCAGGCCCTAGGATACCAGCATATTTTATTTCCTTATATTTTTAAATACTTTTATACCAGGATGTGCTTTCTGAGGTAGCAAACTTATAGTGTTTTGGAGTCTCCATATCTGGAATTCAGCATTGTATTCTGCCAAAAAACACACATTTTGTTAGGAGGTTAGGAGGTAGAAATTCACATTTTGCTATTTGTGTAGTAAACATATGAAGTAAAAAACCCTGTTTCTGATAGATGCTACAAGTAAATCTTCCTTTTTGTATTCCAAGCATACCACTTTGGTGAAAACTGTATGAATCAATATATACATACTACATTTTAAAATGAAACACCATTATTCTGTTCTGCTTAGATGATTATTATATTTACTATCATTTTTAATTTTGGTCTGTTTTTTTCAATTTTTTTTTTTCTAGCTGTTAAAATAAAGAAGACACTAAAGAACTTGACTGTGACAGAAACACAGGAGGCAGTTTTCAGTGTAGAACTGACCCACGCTGATGTGAAAGGAGCTTTGTGGATTAAAAATGGTGTTGAACTTGAATCAAATGACAAATATGAAATTACAGTGAAAGGAACTGTTCACACACTGAAAATTAAACACTGTGTTGTCACTGATGAGTCTGTTTATAGCTTTAAGCTTGGAAAGATAGGAGCAAATGCCAGACTTCATGTGGAAAGTAAGTCAATCTGGTTTGAATATTTGGTTTAATGTGTTGTTTGAAATTCAAAATGAGCACACTGTTGAATCTTGCTAACTTTTTTTTTCCTTAAGCTGTCAAGATCATAAAAAAGCCAAAGGATGTGACTGCTTTGGAAAATGCTGTTGTCTCCTTTGAACTGAGTGTATCCCATGATACTGTACCTGTCCGATGGTTCCACAAAAACATTGAGCTTAAACAAAGTGAAAAATACAAGATGATCTCTCAAAGGAAAGTTCATAAGCTTATGCTGCATAACATATCTCCTGCTGATGCCGGAGAATACACAGCTCTTGTTGGGCAAATCGAGTGTAAAGCAAAACTGTTTGTGGAAAGTAAGTATACTAAGTAATTATACAAATTACTACATGAACTCATATTGAACAACTTGACCTGACACTTCACAGCCTGCTACTCTTGGTTTTTTTGTAGTCTTCCACACATACTGACTTTAAAAAAAAAATCCTTTATTTTCTTTTGCCTTTTTTTCCCCCTCTTAGCTATACACATCACGAAGACCATGAAAAATATTGAGATCCCTGAGACCAAAACCGCCTCTTTTGCATGTGAAGTTTCTCATTTCAATGTGCCTGCTGTCTGGTTGAAAAATGGTGTGGAGATTGAAATGAGTGAAAAGTTCAAAATAGTAGTCCAGGGAAAACTCCATCAGCTCAATATCATGAACACAAGCAGTGAAGATTCTGCAGAATACACCTTTATCTGTGGAAATGACAGAGTCAGTGCAACCCTGACTGTAAAACGTACGTAAGAATGAAATTAGCCAGGATATTCTACAGTTACTAGTAATAAAGATTGTGTTAATAGATACACTTGGTGCAATTCAGAAAAAAACAACACTGTTGTAGAGGTATTTTCAAATAACCCTAAACAGTCTTAATTACACTTTTAAAAGACATCCAGAAGCTGTGAATGTGAAAGTCACATCCCGGATTCTCCTGTTTAGGCCAATATACCTAAACGCTAAGCTACCATAAGAGATAAAATTTGGATACCTATGTCGTTCAGAAATTTTGTGAAATTTAATTGAAGTATTAATTGTAGAACCTTCCTTTTAATATTCTAAAAAATCAGAATCCGTCTTAAAGAATTTTAAACATTTCTGAACCTGTTAACATGTATTTGAAAGAAAGCAAAGCAGAATAAAAAAATCCAAAACCATATCCTTTTCTTTTAGCCATCTTGATTACCTCCATGCTAAAAGACATCAATGCTGAAGAGAAAGATACGATAACATTTGAAGTTACTGTTAACTATGAAGGTATCTCATATAAATGGCTCAAGAATGGGGTAGAAATAAAATCGACTGATAAATGCCAGATACGAACAAAGAAGCTCACACATTCCCTCTCCATAAGAAATGTGCATTTTGGTGATGCTGCAGAATACACCTTTGTTGCTGGAAAAGCAGCTTCATCAGCCACTTTATATGTGGAAGGTATTTGCTCTTTTGATTTGTATATTTATTGATTTCTATTGGCTTAAGTATCACGGCACTAATTCTATTATTTATCTGCCCTAGCTCGTCACATTGAATTTAGGAAGCATATAAAAGACATTAAGGTTGTGGAGAAGAAGAGGGCTATTTTTGAATGTGAAATTTCAGAACCTGACATTCAGGTCCAGTGGATGAAGGATGGACAAGAACTCCAGATTGGTGACAGGTAAATGTTTGCTGCTACACTGTATTGACTTTTTTAATGTATTTTCCACAGGAAATAACTTGCTCATTTTTCTGATGTCCTTAGGATGAAAATTCAAAGAGAGAAATATGTGCATCGTCTCATCATTCCTTCCACAAGAATGTCTGATGCTGGCCAGTACACTGTAGTAGCGGGTGGAAACACATCCAGTGCCAAGTTGATAGTGGAAGGCCGTGACATTCGTATCAGAAGCGTCCGTAAAGATATTCAGGTAAGGCATATACAGAAGCATAGATGTTTCATAGCTTTATCACTCAAAGAATAATGAAAAGGAAAGGAGGCAGTATCTAACCAGCAGGAGTCCTAGCACAAAAATCTGTAATCATAAGGTCACAGCCTTCTTCTAGGAAACTGGAATGTGGGACCATCTGTAAAAACAGATGCTGTTTCTAATATTTACTCTACTTGTTCAAAGGTCCTTGAAAGACAAAGAGCTGAAATTGAATTTGAAGTCAATGAAGATGATATTGAACCACAGTGGTACAAGGATGGTATTGAGATCAACTTCCAATATGAGGAAAGATACAGTTATGTGGTAGAAAGGAGAATTCATCGAATGAGTATCTTTGAAACTACTTACTCTGATGCTGGAGAATATACTTTTGTTGCAGGACGGAATAGGAGTTCTGTTGTTCTCTATGTGAATGGTATGTGTCCCCACAAGCAATGCTTTGACTGTTGTTTTATTTTTACCCTGAAAGTAAAAAAAAAAAAAAAAATTATAAAAAAAATTAAATAAAAAAAAATTAAATTAAAAAAAAAAAAAATCTAAAGAGAATGCCTGGAACATTACCAAAATCCTCATGTACATGGATCTTTCTTGTTCTACTGCTAGCTTGCTAGCGGATGAAAATACTGTAGTAGTTCTTTTCCCCATGGCATTTATTTACACCAGGAAATTCTTAAGTCCAAATAAAACTAATATGCTCATATGGACAAATAACACCTTGCCAGGAGGATCAACATAGAAATTCTTGGACACATTTTGCCAGAAAACTCTTACACTAACACAGTTAACTATGTTAAAGCACCTGTTGCTAGATCATTCCCCCTGTATCAAATAAAAAAGGCAGGTTTTCATGGGCACACAATACTAGGACTAATGAGATTTCAGAAAATAAAATTCCATGGTAATATTTTTGAAGCCTTGATAAATATTGAGATTCCTCTCTCTCCTCCTTTCTTCTCTCCCTTTTTTCCCCCACACAATTTGCAGCTCCAGAGCCACCCAAGATTATTCAAGAACTAGAGCCAACCACTGTGGAGTCTGGCAAGCCTGCCCGCTTCTGTGCTATGATATCAGGCAAACCCCAGCCCAAAATTTCCTGGTACAAAGATGATCAACAGCTTTCTTCAGGTTTCAAGTGCAAATTTCTTCATGATGCACAAGAATATACCCTATTGCTCATTGAAACTTTTCCTGAAGATGCAGCAGTGTACACCTGTGAAGCAAAAAATGACTATGGAGTTGCTACAACTTCAGCTTCGCTTTCAGTAGAAAGTGAGTTTCCCATGCTGAGAACAAGGTTTGTGAAATGAGATTGCCAACGTGTATGGTCATCTTCATCTTTATAAATGACTTCCTTTTGTTATCCTCTAGTCCCAGAAGTTGTTTCTCCTGAACTAGAACTGCCAGTGTATCCACCTGCTGTCTTAATGCCGCTACGTGATGCTGTTACATCCGAGGGACAGTCTGCTTGTTTTCAGTGCAGAGTTACAGGGACAGGTGGGTTAAATGAAATCCTTCACACCGTTTCATCTCTCAGAATTTTTCATCTTGAACTCAGAGGAAATTCAACAGTATATATGCTGGAATCATTCTTTCCCTAGAAATACAGTTATCTGATATATGCACACAGCAAAATGTTACTCACTGATAGCTATCAGTTAAGCAAAGTCAAAGGTGGCTCTAGTTCTTGAGCATGCTCTAAGCATGAAAGCCATAAGTTGTCACAAACATTAAACATTTCTAAAAAGGTTTGTTTCAAAGAAATTGTCTTTGAAAACTTCTCAGGGTTTCAAATGCTAACTGATGTTTGAAAACTGTGCCAGTGAGTAAAATGCATAATTTCAGAACATAGAGTATCATGTCTTTTTAAGTGTAGATTTGCTTTAAATAAGATTGCTAGTTTTTGTTACAGTGAATATTATTCTACATTTAAAAGAATTGTCTCCAAGTTAACACTAAACCCAGTATAAATATCTTTCTTCAATAAATGACCTTGAGTATGACTAATACTAAAATATTCATATGGAATTCAATGCAGAATAAGATCCAGTTTCAACCCCAAAGGATTTACAGTTGTTCAAAGATAAATAAAGCTCCAAATTTAAAAATAATCCTGAGTGATAGCTTTGTAAAAGTCCACAAAAAAATTGATAATATACATTCACATACCAATACCAATATATATCATTTGCATTGTTATTACCGGAAATCAAATTCCAAATAATTAAAAAAAAAAAAAAAAAAACTTCACAACAAATTTGTCTCTGTTCTAGAAGTGGTGCTAAAATTCAGAAAATGTATGTTGGAAAGGCTGGCTTGCCCTTTGTGCAAACCTAGTGTAAATTTTTTTACATGTTTTTATTTATGTGAATGTGATAGCTGCATTTACAGCACAGAGTATAAGAATACTTTTATCCAGGTCCCCTTTTATAGACCCTTAGAATGGTTTAGGTTGGAAAAAATATTTAAGATCATTGAGTCTAGCCATAAGCCTAGTACTGCTGGCCACTAAACAGACTGTTCACCACTAAACCATGTCCCTAAGTTCCATGTCTACACATCTTTCAAACACTTCCAGGGATGGTGACTCAATGACTTCCCAGGGCAGCCTGTTCCAATGCTTGACAACCCTTTCTGTGAAGAAATTTTTCCTATTGAAAATTTCCTGTTGCATACTTCTCACTTGAGTTTTGAAAACCTTTTATCTTAGGTTAGGTAATAGATGATTGCAAATACAGTTGTATTTTAATGGTACATGGTATGGACCTGACAATTGAAAACACTGTCTTTTTTCTTCTGATGGCACACTATGTGTGAAAACATTTGATTCATTGCGTAATATAGCAGTAGGTGGGGGTGAAGAGGTAAAGGTTAAAGCCTGCTTCAGTTCTCTTCTTTCTCCATGTCTACAAGAATCGATACAAGTTAAATAACATAACCTATGATATAGGAATTTTGAAAAGGTACAAAGACAAGATTTTCCTTGAGAAACATGAGGTGTAAAGCTTGTAATAGTTGCAACAAAAAGAGATAAGGTACTGTATTAGAAGAAGAATATTCCTTTTGAATTTCTTTAACCTGTTCACCTCAACCTAGTGTTTTTATAACTTTTTCAATCAGGCAATTGTAGCAGAATCATAAAATGGTTAGGGCTGGAAAGGACCTGAAGATCACCTAGTTCAAACCCCTCTGCCATGGGCAGGGATACTTCACACTAGACCATGTTGCCCAAGGCTCTGTCCAATCTGACCTTGAACACTGCAAAGGATGGAGCATTTACCGCTTGGGCAGCCTGTTCCAGTGCCTCACCACCCTCATGGTAAAGAGCTTTTTCCTTATATCTAACCTGAACTTCCCCTGTTTTAGTTTAAACCCATTACTCCTTGTCCTATCATAAGTCTTTAATGTAGAGCCCCTCTCCAGCATCCCTGTAGGCCTCCTTGAGATCATAGCTTAGTGTTGTCAGAAAACTTTCTGAGGGTGCACTCAATCCCACTGTCCATGTTGCTGACAAAGACATTGAAATAAGACTTTCTCCAATTTTAGTGGTAGATATATATTTTAAAATTTATACGTTAAAAGGGGAACGAAAAAAATATTTTTACTTGGGAACACAGCAGCATCAGAATCAGTTTTCCCATGCAAATATTTCTGAGAAATGGAAGCTTAACACAAGAAGCAGGCCACTTTCTGCTAATCATACATTACCACAGTAATAGAAGGCACATTTAAGCTTAAAAAAGATACTTGAGATTAAGTTTTCTGACAGCTATAATTATAGTAATACTTACCAATCTAATATCATAACTTACACATTTTCTCTTCTTCCTTTTGTTTGAGCAGATCTGAAAGTCTGTTGGTACAGCAAAGAGAAAGAGATCAAGCCATCACGGTTTTTTAGAATGACTCAGTTTGAAGACACTTACCAGCTGGAGATTGCTGAAGCTTACCCAGAGGATGAAGGAGTCTATACCTTTGTGGCTAGCAATTCTGTAGGCCAAGTGACAAGCACTGCTACCTTGAAGTTAGAAGGTACAATGTGCAGTTAAAGAAGATGTCTTGTTTAGGTTGTGTTCTAATACTAATCTTAATGTACACTGCCGATTATATGTGCGTCTTTGTCTGTAACGTTGCCTTTTAACTAGATTAATTACTACCATTTACAATGTCCACAGCACACATTTATGTCTTCAAAATATAGGTCATGCACACCAAAATTTATTTCACAATTTTTCAATGTTCCATGCACCTCACCTTTTCATTCTCTACGGTATTAGAATATGTTATGCACAAAGGATGGCAGAAATCTTCCTTCTAATGGAAATGCTTTGCTTACACATTCATTGATTTGCTTGTGAGAAGAATCTAGCAAGAGTTTTGTATAAAATTAATCACTTTGAGTGTTGGAAAACATGTTGAATAGAGGTGTGTACCAGGTACCTGAGCAGCTGAAGGTAAATAGTTCACATTCATATAAATTGATGCAACGTTGAACAAAGTTTTAAAGCAGAAATATTGTCTAGAGAATTTGCTATTTAAGTTCTATATTGTCTTTGATATTATTTAACCATAAATATTTTGTTTTCTTTTTGCAACAGATTTTATAAATGATGAATTAGGATAATTCATGCTGTTAAATTGCAAGTTAACACAAAAAGTCTTGAATGAGAGAGAAAATTTATTATAGCGTAGGGTAAGAAATTAAAAGTTGGCATGCTTCTTTTCAGGATTTAAAAAGGTTGAAGAAGTTACATCAGAGTCCCATTGGCATGTTTCTTCATCTGTTTCACTTAAGGAGGAGTCTATTGGCCAAAAGCCCACCTTTATCCAGCCTATTTCAAGCTGCAGGGTATGCAGCGGGGAATCAGTCAGATTTCAAGCTAGAGTCTTTGGCATGCCCAAACCAAAAATCCAGTGGTTTCATAATCAACAACTCATGTTGCCAACAAAAGACTTAGTTTTCCACTTTGATGAGTCTACAGGCACAGCTATACTGATAATAGTAGATGCTTTCTTAGAGCATGCTGGCCAATACTCTTGCAAGGCAAGAAATAGTGCTGGAGAAACAACTTGTACAGCTACACTTACAGTGACTGCAGAAGGTAAAGCCCCATTTTTACTTCAAAGGGATTCAGTTTGTTGTATACCACACTTTTACATTGTTACTAATGTTCTTCTTTCCTCATTTCACACGTTTTCTTTACCAGCTAATGTTAGTAGTACCTACCCTCTATAACCCAGCCACTCTCATTTCTTCTGTTTAAGCTGTAACATTTGGAAATTTACAGATTTGTATCTTGATATAGGCCAAATAATGGAATAATTTTACTGAAAGCATTCAGATTTTTAAAACAAGTAATTACGTGATGTTTATAGCATTGACTGAGCTATTTTGCATTATCCTGTAGGAGAAAAAAAAACCACACGACAATACCCCCTTAAAAAGTTCCATAGGAAGTTTCCAATACTAAAATGGACAACTTCAGTAGAAGAAGAGAGAAGCCTCAACTCTCTATCCACTGCATGACTAGCTTAGGCATCACTTGTCATTCATATATGTGAATGAATAATCTCTGTGTAAAGAGACTAGTGCATTTGGCATGCTGAGTTTTCAACTGAAGATCATTCATTTCATCCTCCATGCTGTTTGATTTTGTTCAGAGCATGGTCCAGTAAAGTTCTTCAGATACTAATATTGTTATTTTTGTTACTTGATTACACAGTGCAAGCCTTAGATAGGCAAAGTTCTGGGAAAGATGTAAAAGAATCTATGCGGTCGCAGGCTATAACAGAACTTCATGTTGCTCCTCTTACAAAGAAGGACACTGAAACTTATCAGAAAGAATTAAAATCACTGCAGCAATCATCCCAGGAGTTGGGTGTACAGGTTTTTGAAAGCATAGCAGAAAGTTTGACCATGAAGGCTGCAGCAGTTAAAGAAATGGAAGCCATGAACACAACAGTCCTTTCCCAAAGATCTCAGAGCACCAGGATATCTATGACCACTTCTCGGGAAATGAAAGATGTCCCTCCAAAGATTCTCTTGCAGCTCAGAGACCTGACTGTGAAATGTGGTGACACTGCTCAGTTCATATGTGCCTTAGAAAATGAATTCTTCTCTGAGTTTCTTTGGCTGCATGAAGGTGAAAAAATAGAAATGTCTGAAAAATTGAAGATATCACAAAATGGAAGTGTCTTACTGCTCACAATCCTAAATGTCCAGCTGACAGATCAAGGACTGTACAGCTGTACAGTATATAATGATTACGGAGGGGCAACAACTGCTGCAATACTAACTGTCACAGGTGGTTATCTGACTTTTAACATCATTACTTAACTTTTGCTTCTTCATTATTACTGCCTACAGCTAACTTACATTTCTTTTATTATATTTAATTAGGAAAGCACTACTAATGCTTAGAGGTATTTCCTCTACATTTACGGCTCTATTCATAAGTGATGTGTGGTACTGGGAGGTTGATATTGTAACTTTCCAGCAGTTACAGATGTCTGAGGCTTTTTATTGCTTATATGCTTCCTGATAAGCAGTAAGATGTAAAGCAAATCAGGCTGGCAGGAATTTTTACATTTTAAGAATTCATAAAGCTGAAATTTAAGGAAGAATGTCAAATAAGCAATGTTGAACTAGATACCCTGTCATTTCAAACTCTGTTGGTCCAACTTGTTTCCAGTAAGTCCAAGGTTCCAATTCCAAGGTTGGCAATATATTTTGAGGTACTTGAAAGTATTAATGGGTGCAAGTTGTATTACTGCACTAGTGAGTTGTCCTCTACCCTTAACTCTCATTGAGATATAAGTATTTATTTCCAATTCTTCCTGACATCACTATATTAGAATGTTAGTACTAATGTTACCACTAATGAAGATCCGAAAATGTATTATCACCACACTGGATGGGTTATAGTATTTCTGCTGTGCTGAAGGCAATCAAGTACAGAAAACTAAGATGAATAATGAGGAAGCCATTGACCCTATGGATTTCACTTTTACATATTGAAGTTTCTTTCTTCAGTCTTGAGCTATGTAAAGTGCTTTACATAATCTGCTGTTACTTACAAATTGAGGCTGTAAATTAAATGCAGAGATGTGCTTGTATTAGGTATTACAGGCCAAGTCTTGGTCCCATGAAAGTCTCATAGGCTTAACTGGTACCTAGAATTAGCCCAGCAGGAATAGAGCTCTTAAATGTGTAATATCACTGTTGTGGCACTAATATGCTGGATATTCTCTCAATACTAATTACTAGTGGGTTTTCCCCCTAAGTATAAGGATATTTTTTTTATTCCTGCAAAACATCTAACCTAATCCTTTTCCTAACTTTATTCTTACCTAGCAAAAGAAGCACAAGCCAAAGCAGTAACAAAAATTACCCTTGAATCAGATACTAAAAGCTTTAAAGCAGTCAAAGATTGTCAGTATAAATCATTTGATGTTACGCAAGAATCTTCCAAGAAAACCTCAAGCTTGTTTATATCTACATCCCAAAGAGCATATGAAACTGAGAAGCAAAGAAACAGAATCTACTATCCTGATGTTGTGCCATGTGAAGACATCACAGAAACTGATGCCGAAGCACCAGAGTTTCTTGAAACTCTGCCTCCAGAAACCACTGTAAAAGAAGGAGATGATGTATTACTCTTTTGTATAATGAAAGGTGTGCCTACACCTTGTGTGGTCTGGCTGTGCAATCAGCTAATAGTTGAGGAATCTGCACTGTGTTCCTTAAAACATGACGGGCCACTGTGCAGTTTAAGATTGTTGAAAGCTGGTCAGAGCCACAAGGGTATATACAAGTGCAGAATAGTTAATCCTGCAGGACAAGCCGAGTGCAGCACCCATCTGAGAGTGACAGGTTGGCAACTGCATGTTCCTTCCAAGTATCAGTTCTTCATGCATAACATCATTGCATTCCACTACATTCATTCAATGGAAGATGATAAGGAATGTGAAGCATCTCATTAGTCTGTGGATTGTTGAATGTTTTCTTCAGAGATTTAAGGCATGACAAAGGCATGTTACATTAGAAACTTCCCCCCTCCCTGCAATAAAGCAAGCAAATCTTATAGAAAAGTGTACAGAGCAAAAAAGTTTGAAAATATTTGATTACTCTGTTCTCAGAATTTATCAAGTGTTTGAATTGTTTGGCATGCATTTACGTTTATGTATGTGTGAACTTCTGTATACTTGCAAGACATTGTTTTTTTCTTACTATATACATTTTTAATTGGCATATTTAATAACTATAGCTCAAAAACAATTTTTGTTTTTCCTTTAGCTCCTGAAAAAACGGTTCATGAGAAGGTAGAGGAAGAGATTGAAATGGAAGCAAAAGGTACAGTCACCAATGATGTTACACTGAACAATTAGTATCAGTTAATTAGTAACATTGTGAAAAGCATTTATCTGCTTACAAGTAGTGTCTAATGGGGAAAGAAAGCCACAATTTAAAGCATATTGGAACATGTTGCATGCTTGTTTTGATATGCAAAGGGTTACTTGCATTATGAGGTTAAGTTTTAAAGTATGTTTAAAACTTCAAATTTATAATTTTGCAGCTATATTTTTAACTTTTACTTCATGCTTTGCAGCTGTTCACAGAGCTTTTATTTGTTCAATTTCCTTTTGAATGCATGGGATAGTTTACTTCAGAAGGAAGTTATACAAATCTTAATCATGTTATTTTTAAAAAACGTTACCAGCCTAACATTAGCAGTTCAATGAATACTGTTGGATGGATGGATGAAGTATACCAGAAAGCATCTGTTGTTTAGGATATGTGAAAGCTACACACTCCCATTGATTCCTTGCACTTCTTTTACATACATTAATTCATCATTATACATGTCTTACCCTGGCTTGCAGATAGCATAAGTGGTTCATGTTGCTTGCTTTTTTCCCCTGTGCATAACATTGTGAAGTTAGTGGCTGTATTAGTTCGAATAAACGCCTTCTCATTTCATGTTAGCTAATACTTACTTTTTTAAAAATCTCTTTCAAAATATTTTTTCTCAATTGTTTGAACATTTAATCTACAAACAGAGGGGTCAGAAAGGGCGTTTATTCTACTGTCTGCAAGTCAGGTAAGATTTTCTTCTTTGCCACCCAAAGACACACAGCTTTTCCAGGCAGAAAAAACATACACGCAGAAGAACGTGTTATTTTGAAATTCATTTTTGCTTGTTCAAGAAGAAATTTCCACAGTCTGAAGAAAGAACAGACAACGAACGATTTTCGTGTCAATCTTTAAAACAGAGCAAGGCGTTGCGTTTATTCGAACAAATATGGTGAGTGAATTACTTTCTTTTCCTGGGTGTGTGATGAAATCTGTTGCATGCCCTTTTTTTATTTCAATTTATTGCTATTTCATTTTTTCTCAGTCAGAGGGCAGGCAGAGCGTAGCATGTTGTAACCCAGTCTCTTTCTTTTGCAGGGCAGCACAGCAAGGTGAACCTCGAGGGACCTGGCACAGTGGCAGTGCTGGCTTGCCCCCAGAACTGTAAACCCACCTTCACACAGGGCCTGAAGTGTAGGTCTGTCTTGGAGGGGGACCCTGCACTCTTCTGGTGCAAGCTGGTGGCATGCCCGGCTCCCCACATGTCCTGGTTTCACAACAACCGGCCAGTCCACCAGGACTGTCGCAAGGTGATCCGCACGGAGAGTGAGGAGCACATGCACCATGCCAGCCTGGAGGTGTGGAATGTGCAGGAGCACGATGCTGGCAGCTACAGGGTATTTGCCATTAACAGTGAGGGCTCAGCTGAGTCCACTGCCTCGCTACTGGTGGCACACAGAGGGGAGCAGAAGGGTTTTCCAGGGAAAGCAGGGTGTATGAGAGAGAGCTGGCAGTGCCTGCTGCAGCAGCAGCAGGAGGACCGGCTGCGGGTGGTGCTCCGCTGCACTGGCTCACCCTTTGACAAGGGACAGGAGGCAGAGCAGTTGCCTGGAGATTTCTCCCCTGCCCGTGGCATGGTACGAACCATCCGCTTCCAGAAGCTGCCACTGGTGGGGTCTTATCGTCCAGGGTTGACACATGGTAGGGAGAATAGTGATATAGTGGCAGATGCTGAGGAGCTGCTGGATGAGGAGATCCGCTGGAAGCTACAACGGCTGCGGGAGGCGAAAAGAGCTATGCTTAAAAAGAAGCAGGAATCCTTCATGTCCATGCCCGAGGCAAGCCCTTCTGGGAAGCCCAGCCCACCTGCGGCTGCTGCCACAACTGATGGCTCGGAGTCCCTCAGGATCCAGGTAGTGAAGGGGAACTGGAAGCCCAAAGCTGTGGAACAGAGATGGAAGGTGCCATGTGGACTCCTGGAGCCCTGCCCACCCCTCTTTGTCCAGGAGGTCAAGCCCCAGGAGGCTGTTGAGGGGCACAGATGCACATTCTCCTGCCTCTTCCATGGCCGCCCACAGCCCACTGTCACTTGGTACAATAATTCCAAGCCTGTGGGACGCATCCGGGGCACTGCTGTTCACACCACAGAGTGCTGCTCTACATTGACCTTCCCATCCGTGCTCCCACAGCATAGTGGCACCATCACCTGCGTGATCTTCAACCCACTGGGCACAGTCAGCACTTCAGCTGCACTCTATGTGAGGCGGCGGATGCAGGCCTACATAGGCCACATGGCCATGAAAAAGGAAGAGAAAGAGGAAGAGCAAGAGAAGGTGAAGGAGGAAAAAGAAAAGGAGAAAGAGAAGGTGGAGAAGGTGGAAGAAAAGGAGGTGGAGGAAGAAGAGGAAGTCAGCCTGGCCTTCACATCAGAGCAGGAACTGCCAAGTACAGTTGCAGACTCAGACTTGTTGTCACTGCCTGTGGAAATCAAAATCACTGCCCCCACTCCAACACCAGAGCAAGACACAGAGATAAAGGAGACCACACGGCCTTCTACAAACCAGACTGCTCCCACCATAAAGCACAAGTTCAAGTTCTCATTTGATGTGGGAAATGAGCCACCCCAAATTGTGACAGAAGCCCCAGCACACGTTCATTGCCATGAAGGGGAGGCAGTGGTGTTGGAGTGTGCTGTGTCTGGGCAGCCCCCACCAGCTGTGGTCTGGTCCCTGAATGGTCAGTGCCTCTCTGTCAGTGAAAGGCTGAGGTTTGAGGAAAGCAAGAATGGCATATACCGCTTGCACATCCAAAGGGTCTCTGTCACAGATGCTGGGCTGTATTCATGTGTGGCCAAGAATGTGGCTGGAACAGCGCAGACAGCCTCTGAGCTGACAGTACAGCCCAGTGAAGCCAGATTGTATAGCAAAGATGGAGGCACTGAGCAACTGCCTTCTACGGACCATGTCGTGCACCTTGAGGGCCTCAGCACTCTTGGGAATGATGAAGAGGAAAAGATCACATGTTCCAAGGAGGAGAAAGCACAGCTACCCTTGTCCCTGAGGCTGCCTCCACCTCCTAGTGAGCAACTGAAAGGGGAGTGTGAGAAAACCTCTCACTTCAGGGAAAGTAAGATGGAGGAAACAGGGCAATATATCATGGAAGTTTATGGTAGGCAAGAAACAAGTTATACAGAAGAATGTGTGAGGGATACAGATGATATTTCTGAGATGATGAGGCACAGGGAAAAAGCTGTCTCTGAGGAGAACAGCTTTGGAACTGGTATCACTGAGCTCCATCCCAGCATGTCCAGAGAAGAACATGAACTAGTGGCCAAGGACTCAGGTCACTTTTCAGAGGAGCTGGAGGCTGAAGGAGACAAGGTGGTACCACATACAGATACTCTGTCCTGGGACATCTTGAAGTCACCATTTATGGAAGTGAAAGGACAAACACATGCCTCTGAGCAGTCTGTTCTGGCAAGGGGGCATGAGGATTCACAAGTCTTCATTCCTATATCACCTATGGTGCATGAGGAAAATGATGTTTGCATGCAGGAGAATGATGTCCCTGCCTGGGAGACAATGTCTACTGATGTGCCTCTTATAGAAAAGCCAAGCGTGCCCCAGCGGCAGGGCAACAGTGCAAGCACACCCACAAAGGAGCAGTTTGGCTTTTATGACCTATGTACAGAGGAGAAGCAAGAGGAACAGGCCAAGGAGCAAGAGACATCAGTTGGTATTGAACAGGACATCAAGGTTGATGATCATCTTTGTAAAGAACAAATAACTGATGCTCGGGATACCGCACACTGGGATATTCACAATTATGGGCAAATGCTGCAAGGAATGGAGTCTAATGCAGGCAACTCTTCTTTGGGTCTAATCCTTGTGCCTCCTGACACAGAAACCTCAGGTCAGGATTTTACTGAGGAAGTTGGGGTTCACCTAAAAGAAGTACAATTCAAAGAGCAGCTGTTGCCATCTGAGACTGATGAGACTAATGTCACATTTGATCTGAAAAAGCTTGTGGAGCCTTTTCCAGCTGCAGATACAGTGGACTCAGAACAGGCACAGCCCCATACAGCTCTTGAAAGCATGGAGGTAAGCGTAGAAACCTCAGGTCAGGATTTTACTGAGGAAGTTGAGGTTTGCCTAGAAGAAGTACAATTCAAAGAACAGCTGTTGCCATCTGAAACTGATGAGACTAATGTCACATTTGATCTGAAAAAGCTTGTGGAGCCTTTTCCAGCTGCAGATACAGTGGACTCAGAACAGGCACAGCCCCCTACAGCTCTTGAAAGCATGGAGGTAGGCGTAGAATCCTCAGGTCAGGATTTTACCGAGGAAGTTGAGGCTCACCTAGAAGAAGTAAAATTCAAAGAACAGCTGTTGCCATCTGAAACTGATGAGACTAATGTCACATTTGATCTGAAAAAGCTTGTGGAGCCTTTTCCAGCTGCAGATACAGTGGACTCAGAACAGGCACAGCCCCCTACAGCTCTTGAAAGCATGGAGGTAGGCGTAGAATCCTCAGGTCAGGATTTTACCGAGGAAGTTGAGGCTCACCTAGAAGAAGTAAAATTCAAAGAACAGCTGTTGCCATCTGAAACTGATGAGACTAATGTCACATTTGATCTGAAAAAGCTTGTGGAGCCTTTTCCAGCTGCAGATACAGTGGACTCAGAACAGGCACAGCCCCCTACAGCTCTTGAAAGCATGGAGGTAGACATAGAAACCTCAGGTCAGGATTTTACTGAGGATGTTGAGGTTCACCTAGAAGAAGTACAATTCAAAGAACAGCTGTTGCCATCTGAGACTGATGAGACCAATGTCACATTTGATCTGAAAAAGTTTGTGAAGCCTTTTCCAGCTGCGAATACAGTGGACTCAGAACAGGCACAGCCCCCTACAGCTCTTGAAAGCGTGGAGGTAGGCATAGAAACCTCAGGTCAGGATTTTACTGAGGAAGTTGAGGTTCACCTAGCAGAAGTACAATTCGAA